TACTTGTCTATTGCACTTCTTGTTATTTTGCTCACTTGTCTTAACGTAACTTTTCATTGTGTCATTTAATTATTCTTATTATTTTGATTGATTTTATTATACGAATTTGTTTGTCCATTTTATTCATGTTTTGTTTATTTAACGTAATTAAAATTCCATTGTTAAAGTTTACTTGTGTTTTGTGTGTCTTCTCCTTACCTTACCACAGACGAAGTTCCAGATTTTCTATTTTTTTTTAATACTATGTGACGAGGCCATACCCCTAGCTTTGAACAGCCGAACACCAACGCGTTACCGTCACAATATATATATATATATATATAATATATGTCGTACCTAATAGCCAGAACGCACTTATCTGCCTACTATGCAAGGCCCGATTTGCCTAATAAGCCAAGTTTTCATGAATTAATGTTTTTTCGACTACCTAACCTAACCTAACTTTTTCTGCTACCTAACCGAACCTAACCTATGAAGATAGGTTAGGTTAGGTTAGGTTAGGTAGGGTTGGTTAGGTTCGATCATATATCTACGTTAATTTTAACTCCATTAAAAAAAATTGACCTCATACATAATGAAATGGGTAGCTTTATCATTTCATAAGAATTAAAATTAGAGAAAATATATTAATTCATGAAAACTTGGCTAATTAGGCAAATTGGGCCTTGCATAGTAGGCTGATAAGTGCGTTCTGGCTACTAGGTACGACATATATATATATATATATATATATATATATATATATATATATATATATATATAAAGTATCCACTCAATTTAACGGCCTCTTTTATACCGATCTGCCGGTATTAACGACCGGTTTGGGAGCCCAGTATCTAGAGCCTGCTATACCGGTCTGCGGTCGATATTACCGACAGTCGGTATTGGGTTTGTTGTGGCATCAGCGTCCCCTCACATGGCGACCAGGCCGCCACCGACCTGGATCGTCCAGAGTCATATATTACATCTTAATTTTCTTTTAAAATGATTCACTTTAATGAAGAAAATTGTAAATTATTATTAATAAAATATTTTGAAACAGTTTATATTAAGCAAAAGTCTTTGTTTTCTTATTAAATTCCTTTTATAGTATGTATAGGCACTAGGTTTTTTTTTTCCCACGGACCTAGTATGTACTCCGCCGGGCCATGTGTTCCCATTGTTTACCGTGAACTCGTGCGGCTAACTTCAATTGTGAAGGATATTACTGTACTGTAATTGTGATCTTTTTAATTTACAAAATGCCAAAAGTTACCCAAAGGAAGCGCCTGACGGTTGCACAGAAGCTAGAGTTAATTCAGAAACTTGATAAAGGATATTCTCATGCACGAGCAGCAGCAGAGTTTAACATCGGGAAAAGTACAGTAAGTGACAGAAGGATACTCTATTAAAATATGTGAGCACAACAGAGTGTGCTACTTCTGGTGCTGCATGTTCGAGAAAAACAGTAAAGTCTGGTCAGTATCCACAATTGGATGCTGCAGTGTATAAGTGGTTTATTCAGCACCGCACAATTGGCATGGCAATAAGATTTGAAGAGCTTAAAGTTGCAGCAAGTAAACTTGCCATTCAATTAGGTATAAAAGATTTCAGTGCAAGTGATGGGTGGGTTGGAAGATTTAAGGCTCGGCATAACATTTCAAACACCAAAAAAATTTCTGGTGAGGCGTCAAGTGCTGATCCCACTAATGTTGATTCATTCAAGGCTAAATTAAACGAGTACATTGTCAGTAATAATTTAAGCAAATATCAAGTATATAATGCTGACGAGACTGGGTTTATGTGGCGAGCTGTACCAAGTACATCCTTAACCAGTAGGATGCAGGAAAATATTCCTGGACGAAAGATAAGCAAGGAACGGCTCTCAGTCTTGCTCTGTGCTAATGCTGATGCCTCTCGCAGGACAAAATGTGCCGTGGTAGGCAAGTCTAAAAATCCTCGAGCCTTAAAAAATATAATGCAGGCATTACCTGTAATATATTACAATTCTAAGAAATCATGGTTTAATCAAATAATATTTACGGACTGGTTTAAAAACCACTTTTGCAAAGAAGTCAGAGAATTCCAGATCAACAAATGTGGAATAAAGGCCAGTGAGGTTAAGGCATTGTTGCTGCTAGATAATGCCCCTGCTCATCCCATTAGCAAGTTAATTTCAAGGGATGGCAGAATAAAATGCATGGCACTTCCACCAAACACAACATCCTTGATCCAGCCCATGGACCAAGGTGTTATCCTTGCTGCTAAACGTATGTACCAAACAGCAATGCTTGAAGATGTTTTAGTTGTTTTACCTAGCGAGGAAGATGAATTGACAGGAAAGGATACAAGGGCTCAAAGAACACTAGAAAATCTAAAAAAGTACACAATCAGGGAAGCAATATTCCACTGGGATAGGCTTTGGAATAAAGTGAAAGAAACCACACTAACAAATTCATGGAAGAAACTGTTAACAGAGAGGCCTAGATGTGAAGCAGCAGTATCTGATAGTGAATTCGAAGGTTTTGAAAATGAAGCCAATGATTTTGAAGGGTTTGAAGAAACGATCCGAACAATGTTGCTCCAAGCTGGTCAGGGTGTACAAGTGAATGATATCAATGAATGGTTAGAAAATGATTACGATCCTGGTTATGAATTGTTAACTGAAGAACAGATTGCGCAAAGTGTTCTCGGAAATGACTCTGATGACTCTGATGATGACTCGGACGATGTTGGTGAGGCTCTGCCTAGAGGTGTCGGATATCAGAAAAGATTGGAACAAGTTGAGGAACTCATTGAATATTCAATAAAAAGTAAACATGAGGTTATTGGAAATTTTTATGTACACCTTACAGCCTTAAAGCAATGTCTCAAAACGTTAGCCAGAGAAAATCAGATTCAGACAAAAATAGATAAATTCATGATTTCAACGGTTCGTGAAAAATCTACGTCGACAAGCGATGCTGCACCCGTCGATGCTGAATTACCATCGACAAGTCATGGAGCATCCGCCAGCAATGAATGCTCTACAAGCCATGCTGCACCCGTCGATGCTGAATTACCATCGACAAGTCATGGAGCATCCGCCAGCAACGAATGCTCTACAAGCCATGTTGCACCCGCCGATGCTGAATTCCCACCAAGTCGTGACAAGTCATCCACTAACGATATAAAATATGATTGAAAGGCATATAAATTAGTGTAAAAAGTGTTGATAGAGTACAGTATTGTAAGTGTTAATGATTAATTAAGCCTAGACAAAAAGATACTGTACAGTGTAAATATACAGTAGAAATAATTGTCAATAGTGAAGTAGAATTAGAACTCATGTGAATTAGTAGTAAGGCTAGCTGTTGTGTGAAGTGAGTGCCTGAAAATAATTGTACATATAAAAAAAGCGCTGCAGAGGATGACGTAATCAAAACAGCTTCGTAATCTTCAGCTTCATTAAAAGTAAGTCAATTTACCAATTTTATTATAGTATTACAAGATATTAATTGTTTTTTTTCAACAAAAGCTACATATTAGTCTCTGCAAATGTATATTCTATCGTCAGCAGAGAAAAGGTGAGCTCAAAATATTTCGTCTTGGCTAGCTCTCAGTGACAAGGCTCGATCGCCATTGTTATGGCATGGCCGCCACAGCCTGTGTCGTAACATTAAAAATACATTACCTGCACTGTTCAGGGTAAATCAAAACACATCTCTAAAATTTTATTAAGACAATATTAACTCACTGATTGATACATGAAATATTTTTCAATACAAAGGAATGAATCAATTTTTTCCCACCCATCTGGACTTGATCAGAGCGTGTTCACACATCATCCATGCAGCAGCCAGCAACTGGCTTAATCGTCGGCCGTGCACTAAATTGGAATGCAATTACACAATGAACTTTATTTAATTTTAGTTATACAGTATAAAATATATCCTACCTGAATGTTACTTGAAAAATTACCCGACCCGACTTAACGTCGGAAATAATGGAGCTCCGTAAATAACGACTTGGGCTCAGCCCCATATAGGCTGTTAAATTGAGTGGATAATATATATATATATATATATATATATATATATATATATATATATATATATATATATATATATATATATATATATATATATATATATATATATATATATATATATATATATATATATATATATATATATATATATATATATATATATATATTATATATATATATATATATTATATATATATATATATATATATATATATATATATATATATATATATATATATATATATATATATATATATATATATATATATATATATATATATATATATATATATATATATATATATATATATATATATATATATATATATATATATATATATATATATATATATATATATATATATATATATATATATATATATATATATATATATATCTAGCCTCTTTTTCTTCTATGTTCTAGCTTTGGCAAAGTTAATGCCTCTAACCTCTCCTCGTAGCTCTTGTCTTTCAGTTCCAGAAGCCGTTGAGATGCATGGCTTTACACCTTTTACAGTTTCTTGATGTTCTTCTTAAGATATGGGCACCATACAACCGCTGAGTATTCCAACTTCGGTCTCACAAAGTTCGTGAACAATTTCTTTAGTATTTCACTGTCCATGTACAGTATTTAAAAGCAATTCTGACATTGTTAAGTGTAGCATTGGCGCCTTGCACATTGTATTTTATGTGGTCCTCAGATGAGTTTTCTACAATCTACCTCTAGATCTATCAGAATTTTTTCAAACCATTCTCACAAATTTTGAAGTTTGTGTGTGGCAATTTTTTTCAAATTCCACATTCCATAATGTGGCATTTTATTCATATTAAATTCCATTTGCCAAGTGGTGCTCCATACACTTAATTTGTCAACATGATGTTTGCGAGGGGTTTGGTTATTTATAAGCAACAAGTTATTAAATTTGTCTTAGGATAAAGGTTCAGAATCACCTATTTCACTATGCAAGGTAGATGATTTTAAATTGCTATATTGTCTTAAGTAAAATATAATATAATTAGAATTTATTCATATACAGTAATTGAAATTTTAATAATCGTGTTTGCATCGTCTTTTTCCTTTATTATAATGTCATAATGAGCATTTCTGTTTATTTGAAATATGATGTATCTTTATAATGATGATAATATTAGACAATTTTTTTAATTTTACAAAAGAATATTATTTAAAACTTGAATTTTTTTAACTACTGTACGTCAGTTATAAATATACAACCATATACGAATAAAGTTATTGACTCATTAAGCAAGAACCAGGTAAGATCCAGGATTGATTGATTACACTTAGCCTTTTGTCAAGTCTTAGGACTAAAATTAAGAAAAATAATAATTATGATACTAAGAGCAATGCATTATGCCATGTTATTACTGTAATTTACAGTGTTTGTTATACTGTAATTTACAGTTTTTGTTATACAGTAATTATACAGTTTTTGTTATACTGTAATTTACAGTTTTTGTTATACTGTAATTATACAGTGCTCCCTCAAAAATTTACATTTTCATGTAATAAATCCCTCTAAACAATGGATCAAACCTGTAAAGAAGAGTTTACAGAACACCACCAAATCTAATATTACACAGAACAATACTGTATTTATAACTAGCAGATATATATATATATATATATATTATATTTGATGTGCTGTTGCTGGAGACATTATCTCAAAACATGGGAGGGGTGATAAAAATAATGGGATATTTCCCACACACACACATTGTTCTAAATTTTTTTAAATTGTATACCATGTATTGCTAGATTAGGCTGCGATAGGGTTGGTTAACTACTTAGGCAAGGTTAGGCTAACCTAGGTAGGAAACTGTTAGGAAAGCTTTAAAATCTGTGTATTGTTTTATGAATGAAGTGACCTGTATCAAAGCAAATCAATGATGATAATTAAAGATTAACGTAGAACCCTTAAACTCCTAAGCTATTTGGAAGTCTTACATCCCGGTGCTCATGAAAATAAATAGTGGAAACCCCATAAGGATCAATGGAATATAGCAATTTTATAACAGGAGGGAATTACAGATAGCAATTGGAGCTGTGTCTGGGTTAAGTTGTGATAATAATGATAATATTGGGGATGAACTTCAAGGGTGAGAAGATCACTAATGGACTTGCAACACAATAACAGTGGAACTTAATTTAGAAATGTATGGGTGAGGATGAGAAGTTGAAGCAGGGTGTGTAGAATACTGTCAAGCCCATAGTATGTAATTACCCAAGTGTAGTTACAGGATGAGAGCTGCGCTTGTATTGTCCGTCTTCCCAGTACTCTTCGTTAGTACAGCACTTTGGGCAAGACTAAGACTAACAACAACAAAATACACAAAGTCCTTTGAAGAACTGGTTAACTTCGTAAGAAACAAAGTTTTGTGCTCAATATGTACAATTATATAAAACCATAAATATAAAATATTAAATTACAAAATGCAACCATATAAAATACAGTATTAAGATACATAACAGTGGCTGCAGTTGAAGAGTATGAGGTGCCAGCGACAAGTGACTAAGCTAAGCAACTGTGATCAACATCAGCGAACAGTTAAAACCTGAGTTTTGGAGTGTAAAATTCCATCACCATAATTTGGTGGATATAGCATTGTTAAATCTCATTACTTAATAGATATTCACATATATACATCAAAAGTGATTTACTGTACATGGTAAATTAAGTACAGTATTAACATGAAATGATTTAATGTATCCAGCTATCGACCTTAAAAATGTGTTCAATATGTTCTTTTGTATACAGTATTATATAAGAGTGCTGATACTTGTATGTGGTTCTACCTGCTAACTGCTAACTACTGTATTTCACTAAAGGTTATTAGTGAAACTTCTTAAAACTTCTTGAAAGTTATGAAACTTCTCGGTGGCTATTAAATATAACCTTACATTTCTGCTTCTAAAATGTCACTTTTAAATACGTGTGAATAAATACCCTTAACTTCCTATAACTCTTATTATTAATATAACTTTGATGATGAGCACTCCTCACTGCAAATTTCATTAGACTAGGTTTCTCAAAAGCCCAATACAGTATACAGTAGAGCATTAGCTTTCTGTGGTCTAAGTTCATTTTTTGAGTTTACTTTCTATGAGGAGTATTCTTGATTCAAAAACTTTTCTTATAATCTGCCTCCTTAATGATCATTTTCATGTACAAACTTTGCAGTTTATTTTTCTGATTTTGTTTTCATTGTTTAGTGTATTAATTTATTATTTATTTGTACATACTGTATTCTTTTGAGTTTATTTTGAAGTTTGCAAGCTAGACCTGCACTCTTTCTTTCCAATTATCTGTAGCAATGCAAGAATTCTATATTTTTATTGAATACTATTGTTTATTAGTAAATCATTTACAGGATTTTTGAATTGCTGAAGTAATAGCATGTTTTGTTCACCAGCCTGTTGCCAAAATGTGCTTTATAATTTTGTGCCTTTTGGATAATACGACTGACAAAATTGCTCTGTTCGTGCAGAGGTAACATCCACTTTTTGAACTCTGTGAAGAATACACACAGACCAGCAACAGACAACAGACTTTTGTGTTAGAGAGTTTGGATATATAGCATTCTATCAAGAACATTAAGTTAGCTTCTCAGCAGCTGAGCAGTCCTGTCTGGAATTTTGTCCTACAGTTATAGGTCCTGTATAGAGAGTACGGGTATAGAGATTTCTGCAGAGAGGAATCCCAAATTAGTGGTGAATACTTTATTACAAATATGATTTTGGAGTTGAAGTGTTATAAATCCTTTATCATCTTTAAACCAGACCTTATTAAATGCTTCAACAATATCCAAGGCGATGACATGTACATTATTCAATCAAGACATTTGTTCCATTTTGAAGTCGACTGTAGTAACAAATGTGATGTGCTTCTTTTTTCTAAAACTAAATTACTACTTGTTAATTAGCAAGTACAATAGTTTACCAAAGTGCATTTTAACTCATTCAAAACTGATTTTTTTAAAGATGTTACCAATAACCGAATGCAAGAATATTGATTCTAATGATGTCTTGCTTTTCTTTTGTTGCAGGAAGCTATAACCCTAGTCACCTTCCAGATTAGTTGCCAGGTTTGCTGGTCAGTGCAAGCTAGAAGAGGGCTGTGAGAATGACCATCTTTTAAGGATGTAGGGACTTGCACAGTCTGGTCCTGCAGCCTTGCCAGCATTGGTCTTGTAATGTTACAGGACGATAAGTGGGACCTGGTATGGAAGGATGCACAGGCAGAGGGAAATCTGGCTCAGTACCGTGCATCTTGCACATGAAGTGAGAAGCCAGAAGTTTTAGCCTTCTATATGGTACTGGTAGCTACTGAGCCATGTGGCCTATTTAATGGTTATATGGAGTTATCAGATGGTAGTCCTTGGTCTTTTATTGTGTGCCATCAAGCTTTATTGACCCACTGATCAACTTGATAATTTGCTTCAGAAGTCCTCATCTATCAAGAGCCCCTTTTTGCATTGGCTTCATATAGTTTCTTTAAACTATTATGAGAATCTTGTTTCAGTGCATTGGTGTTTATTCATAGCAATTCCCGGCTCCTGACTTCTCATTGACTGCACTTCTATACTCATACCCAACCCAAGGCTAGCATTTATAGAAATTTTCAGGAATATATTTACAGCCTGGCTGTAAACATCTCCTGTCAGGATAACATTCCAATTTTCATTCTCAAGGAAGTCACATAGTCCTTGCCAGTACTCCTGATCCAAGAACCAGGCGGTGAGTGGTGCTGCCACCTCTGATACAGTAGCTTCAATCTTGATGCTGATGTACACTGCCCAATGGTCCAAAGAACCAACATCGCTCAAAGGACACTATGTAATAGGATTTTCAACTAGGTCTATGATCACCAGGTCAAATGGTAGCAAATGGTGATCACCATGTCAAATTCATGACAAGTGGTAGCAAACTTTACATGGTTTGTTAGAGTAAAGAAGGCTAAGAAATCGTCATAAGTACATCTGTGCCATTTGATGTTTGCTCATGTCTTTCACAAGGGTGAAATGGTGACATTGGTTTTAATATAAAAGCTCATCTAGATGCTCAGTTAGATACAGAATCAGTTCATTGCCTTACCAATAAGAGTGATAGAACACTGTACACAAAAGAGAACTGATTCCTGGTCATTTGTTCAAACAAAAAGGTCAATTCTATGTGGCTGGGTAAATCCACTTACAAAGGTTGCACCTGCAGTGTTGTGAAAGCAGACAGCAGTGTCTCCACATCTGGCAGACTGTCTGTCTTTTCTTTGATTACTGCTCTCCAGTATTCTGCAGGGACTATGTCTGTGATGTTAGTACAGTATATAGTTTCAGGCTTCCAATTAGTCTCCTTTCTTGAATACTGCAACAACTTTGCCGTCTTATAAATAACCGGGAGATCTCTATTTGCCAATAAAGTACCGTTTCACATTATTAACTTTAGTTAATGGTTTACATAGTATCCCTGCAACCTGCTTCAACATCCATGGTTATCCCTACGGTCTTGCTTATAACCAACTTCACCAGTTATTTCTTTAGTACCTCCTCAGATACTAGCACACTGCCACTTATACCAGCATATTGCCTATTTACTTCTGTATTTTCTAGTGTGATTCTGCACATTCTAATTTCAAATGTCCTCATCATTTTAAAACAACTACTTCTCCAATACACTTCCAGCATCTGCACTAGTTTCAATAGACTTCCCAGACGTTTTAACATCCGTCTTATCTTCCTCGCCAGATAATATTTTACTTTCTCCCCGTTCCCTAATAGTATCTAGCACCTCCAGTGCCGAGTCCTTGCTAAACACTTTTTTAAATTCTCTAGTCTGATTTGTTATTGTAGGACTGGGCAAATTATTTATGAAGTTATTTGTATTTGTTCCCATTAAAGCACTTTCCAGAGAATCATCACTTCCAATAGTGAAGATTTTATGTGGCTTTTCTCCTTTATGGATGTCACTCGCAGATAATTCAGAGTGATTTTCTAATTTTAATACAAGTTCATTCATTAGTACATTTTGTTCATCAATATTCTGTGCATGTGACTCTTGCTCATCATCCAAAAGACTCGCTTGAGATGAGACAAGGTTGATGCTGTCATTATCCGAGTCAGTTCCAGGTTCCTTCACAGGAATAATTACAAATTTGTTACCCAAGCGACGAGCATGAGGGCTATCTGGTGATGATGGTGGAATGCCATCAAAACTGGAATTTCTCTTCAAAATTTTAAAGGGATGTTTATTTGACACAGGTGTACTGGGGACACTACTGTGAGAGTATCCAATGAGTTTGAATGGTATTGGTGGTGGTGTTGGTGGTGGGGTTGATGGATACAAGATTGGTGCAGACTGCACATTTCTCAGTACTGGCTGATCTTCCATATTATCTTCAGACAATGAATTATTAAAGTCAGAGGCATCTTTTAATGGGCCTGATTTGTTCTTTGCTTTTTTATTTACCGTGGCATAAATAGGGTCCTCTTGCTTATTAAATTTATCTGACGAGTCAGAATCTCCAACTTTCTCAGAGTTTTCTAACGGCAAAGCTTTTTCTTTATTCGCAGATTCAGTATTTGTTAAATTTTCAGATGTCTCCATTTTATTCTCAGTGGCCACATGTATTTCTGCAATTTGAGCTTTGACATCCTCAAGAGTTACATATCCAGGGTCATTTGGATCATCCTTCACACTATCATTCAATTTTGTTGGATTGTCTTCAAACAGTTGTTGCAAAGATACACATCCTGAATTACTATTTCCAGTTTTCTTTACAGTTTCTAATGACTTGTTTTCTTCTCTGTTGGTCATAGAAACCTCTTCACCTGGTAAAGGTGATAAATCCCTACCATGATCATCATCACTGAATGGTTCTCTCGTACCTTCACTTAGCATGCTCAAGCTGGGGTGATCACCCTTAAGATGCGAATCCCTAGTTTCACTTTGTAATCTTTTCTCTTCTCCTTTGGTCACCTCACTAGATACTTTATCTGATAAAACGATGGCAATTTGAATCTCTTGTTCAGAAGAATATCCAGTGTCAACAACATCTACATCGGTCGATGCAGACTGCCGGGGTTCAATCACTACAGCCACGAGAGGAGATATTGGTAATGGAGTTTTCTGTTTATTTTTCTCGATTGCCTTAGGAGTGTTAGGTCGAGAATTTGCAGGAGTAGCTAGGTGAATCTCAATAGTGGGAATTACAAGACCATTTGGATTTTTGTCCATCTTCCCATTTCCAATAAATGCAGGGTTGTTTATACCGTATTTAGCTTCGCTTGTTGAGAGCTCTTCTGAACTATTCCACAGTCCATAGCCAAAATAGATAAGAAAGCCTACATGCAAAAGAAAGTGCAAAAAGCAGAGGGTTAGTGCCATGCTGTGCTCAACTAAAAGTTAATAATTACTTTAATAAGCTCAATTCTATCAATAGAAAAGGTAATACAATACAAGATATCATGCATATTTTAGGAAGTCTTATGCCTAATGTGTGCATCAATTGTACAGTTATTGCTTCAAAAGCCTAAAAGATGGAAGCACCAGCTTAAAAACTTCTTCCTATGGAAGACAAAATATAGCAGTTTTTCAACAATAAAGTGCAAGGCCAAAGACTAAAAAGAAGTGAACTTGTTTTATGCATAGTCCCTGTAATAAGTAATGTGACTTAACCAGCACACTGAGTTTGTATTAGAAAGGGATGGACAAAATTAACCAGCTGATACAGCATAGGGATGGAGGTCAGGGGATTTATTTGAATTATGTGGAGCTCACCTTCAGCTAGTATTTTATGTCAAATGATATTAGAGAAAATGACTGCCGTACGTTTTGTTGATCACTAATAATAATTTGGCAGGAGCTTCAGGAAGCCACACAAGATGCAGGTAGCACATACACTTAGTATTTATAATACTATAATACTGACTATGGGAACAGAGAAGCCAAGGATTAATTACTGTATCACAAAAGGATTGCTATGCCTTGAGAAGTAGCACAAGCAATAGAAAACACATCAATTCCACACTGAGGAAACTAGCTAGTTGTTGCATTTTCTAAGTTGCTGAAAAGTATGCAGGAGCCACAAGGCCTTCATATTATCTTGCTTCATAATAAATTTCTACAATCTAACTTATCTTGTTATCTAAATGATCACATCTTACTTTAACTAATAAATAATATTTTTTAAATCTGCAAGTGTATTTGAATGGGTAAATAATCACATGAATAGTCAAATATATAAAACAGATTTAAACTCCAAAGAATTTACATTGCTAGTTTACTTCCCTGCTATAGTGTAAGTTTATTAATGCATTGTGCATCACTCCTAACATACAGATCAAGGCGTTTATACCTTATACCATATAATCATTAGTATGTGATAATGTAATTGAGTGAGTGTTCCTAAAGTTAACTGGAGCAGCTCTTAGTAATTCATTTAGTAGTATTGCAGAATTGTCTGTATTAATTGCTCCCTTGCAATGAGTCTTCAACTTCAGAGGGCATTTGAAATGTCTGACAAAGCTTGTGTGTCTGGATGACGGCCAGGTTCACAGTTATCTAAAGCACGCACAAATTCGGCTTCAAGTGTCATACCTTACTTTTGTTTAGGATGGGGGGGGGGGGGTTAAAAGAGAGTTCAAGGGAAAGAAATGAACAGTGTGCAGGATGAAGGAGTTGGTTTAATAATTAAACATGAAATGTGAAGATGACAAACATTTCTCAGGCTTTACTTCTCAAATTATTGAAAAACTGCATCATGCTTTTAAAATCTACTGAAGCAACTTACATAAATATCAAGCATGCAGTCTCAATATATACTCACCAATGGCCATCCAGATTCCAAAACGAATCCAGGTATCAACAGGCAGGTTAGCCATTAAGTACAGATTAAACAAAGCACTCAAGGCTGGAGTCCAAGGCACAAATGGCACCTGAAATAAAAAAAAAAAATATTTGAGTAATTCTCCAAACTGAGAATATAGTGAGAAAATCAACTGGACCTCTGAGGTAATTGAAACCCACGACTAAGACGCTACCGGCTGCAAGCTCTACCACTGTACCACCCTGATTTGTTGTAAGTTTTACTTTAGAAGTTGTACCAACTTATTATACTCAATTCAAATTCAATTTTTTTATTCAGGTAAAAGTATATACATAGATGAAGAGTTGCAAATATAATGTTGGATTTATAGATAGAACTAGTACTGTACATACAATACCTAAATAATAATTCATTTGGTAACTGATAACATGTTTAGTGATGAAAAAAGTGGTTGCAAGAAGAGAAGTGGAATAGAGAAACGGATATGAGGAAAACAGAGAAACCATGAACATGTTCAATACGAGCCAGGAGTATAGGATAGCTGGAATAACCAGAAATATGTTAAGGAATGAGAGTAAATTGCTAGATGATTGGACTAAGACAATTACATACCAGAAATATGTTAAGGAATGAGAGTGAATTGCCAGATGATTGGACTAAGACAATTACAATCACTATATATAAGGGAAAATGAAATGGGGGAGAATGAGGAACCTACAGGGAGATTAGTTTACTTAAATTCTCAGAAAAACGTGTATGCAAGGATGAAAACAGAATGTAGGATTGGAGAAGAACATAGTTGATTTAAGAGGGGTTAATTGGATCAGATTTGATTGTTGAAAAGCTTCATAAACACTATACAGTATAATTATACACGTGAATTTACAGTACTGTAAATTCAAAATACTGTGCTTTATACAACAGACAATCAAGACACACTAATTTGCATAACAAATTCAGTATGGCACATCCATATCCTACGTAACAAAAAATCATCTGGTCTTAGTGCAAACCACAAACAGGTTTTTTCTTTCATAAATTTTTTTTATTATAGTCTTACATTATGACTCCTTTCAAACATTTAGCAACTGCTGTACTGCTGAACCTTCAAGATGCTCTCATGTTGCATAGAATTTGTGCAGCATTGAAGGGGCCTGACAGCTGAGTGGACAGCGCTCGGGATTTGTAGTACTGAGGTTCCGGGTTCGATTCCCGGTGGAGGCAGAAACAAATGGGAAGAGTTTCTTTCCCCCTGATGCATCTGTTCACCTAGCAGTAAATAGGTACCTGGGAGTTAGACAGCTGCTACGGGCTGCTTCCTGGGGGGGGGGGGTAACAGAAATGAGGCCTGGTCGAGGACCGGGCCATGGGCACACTAAGCCACGAAATCATCTCAAGAGAAGATAGCATAAGGCTATCTCAAAATGTATTCCTAGGGCTGTGCATCAGCCTACAATATATATTAATCAAGTAAATAGGTGTCTGTTTTGTGCCAGTGTCTTTGATTAGACACTTTCTAATCAAATCATTGATGATTGAGAGTAACATGTGCAAGCATTTATAGCAAAAATTATGTCCTATACAAACCTTGAAAGACAACTTATTCTTAGATTCTGGCTGCCGAGAGAGAACGACGATATTCAAAAAACAGAGAAGTGCAGTGATACCGACACCCATTATAGCTCTCAAATCTCCTTGGGCTAGTTGCGTCTGCAGCAATTTCAGTAAGAGAGCTAATATAAAAGCAAGACAACCTGCAAGAAAAAGTCTATTAAAATATTAGATAGGTATCAATCATGTGAGGGCAATGAATAGTGTGGTGAAATGAGTACATATTTATAATTTGTTGAGGGAGTGAAGTGAGTATGTACTGGTGCAATGAGTACATACTGAGTACAGGCTGGTGTAATAAACACAGGTTGGTGCTATAAACGGAATGAATTTACTAGTGGTCAAGGTCTTCTTGCAGCATACTATAGTTCTCCTCAGTTCTCATTCTCCTAGTTAGCTTTCCATCAGCCACAAACACTGATATGTAGGCACTCACTATTTTGGCTAGGTCTTAAGATAAATTAGCAAGAGCAAGGGTCATGGGTCAGAGGCATGTTGGGGAAGGGGGGTATACTGGGACCACTTTCAAGTCCTCTCCAGACTAACATTCTTTCTGACTACATAGGGCGTGCACAAATAGTAATGGATGGTACACAAATAATAAGCTCCATCTGCCACTCTTTTGTCCATTTTAAAGGCTATTAAGTCAATGTAAAATGGTACATGCTTCCAGTAGGTGTAAGATTGTCACAAGTGCAATGAGGAACATAATTTTTAAGAGTTAGTTGCTCTCACTACGGTTTTGGGAACCAGTTATAACTTACAAAACTAAAATATATGCCTATATATATACTGTACAAAAGTAATAATCGATTTATAATTAAGGTGAAAAACATTAAAGTAAATCTCTCCTTACAGTAACTTAAAGTAGCATAGCTGGCCAAAGAAGATGAAAGATCAGTTGGTTCCTTTAAGCCCTTCACATTGAATAGCTGCTTCACATATGCCATAGCTGAATGTTCTGAGCTGAAGTGGGATTTTCTAGTATCTCCAGATTCACTTGAGCTTTTGAGGTGAGTATCCTCACCCTCTGCATACCTATAGTAAATGTAAACAAATTTCATAAAATCAATTTGACTTTCAATATTGTACAATTAACAAATACCATGTAAAATGGAAAACTAGCTACTCAAAGATTACTTCAAAAAATGTTTTCAAATAAGCATGTGAAAAATATGGCTTTGAGTAAATATATAAGGCACTCTTTAGCAATGCAATTCGGTTGCTCTCAAAGGTAAGAACTGATGTGTCATCTGGAGATGTATCATAACAACCATGAAGCCAACATTCTCAACACTGACAACACCATAAATTTTTCAAGTGGGTTCTACAGGACCAGTGCTAGAGGATCACAGGAGACGAGGTCAGTCCAGTTCGAAATGACCAGCAGAGGTTCATTCCAAACAATTTCAAAGCCATGTAAGAGTTCTCCCTGGTGATCAAACATGGCTGCCTAACAAGGTCTCCAACTGCTTGACAACCAGTTAACTCTGACTGCTTCCAGATGGTAATACCATCACAACATGGTACCGAGTTATATTGTTCATCACATTCTTCCAAATTCAAACACTTAAACCACAATTATACTGCAAACAGGAGAAAGGAAATGAAAGGAGAGGGACTGGAGAGCAACCAAATGGCACTGCTTCTGCAAGTCTTCCTATAATTTTTTCCCATTTTTGTGTTTCTTGCAGTTTCTCCAGTTTCCTTCTACTACTTCTTTAGCTTATTTTGCATGCAAATTATTGTCAAGCTTTTTTTCCTTACCTCTTCTCTTTGATACCTTTAATTTCTTCCAACATTTATTCAAGCTTCACTGCTTCTATCCACTTCTTCCTTTCTAAGTAGAATTTGTTGTATATTTTCCTGAAATTTCCCCCTTTTTTTCATCTTTCTCCTCTTTCTTTTGTTTCACTCTTCTGGCCTCTCCTTGGAGTTTCCTTATCTTTGCAAGATATCAAATAATTCTTCTTGCTGTGTTGCTATCATGTCTGGTTCCTCCTTTTTTCATACATGTTTACCTTCGGTTTCTCCTGTCTTTATTTGTAATAATTCATTATCATCATTACCCTCATTTCCTGCTTTCATGGGGTGGGGAGGCATCAACCTAGAAGAAATTGGAGAGCAATATAGGAACAGATAATTGAAGATACTCAAGAAGGTTCCCATCTTCATGTGTAATCTTGCTATATTTCCCATAATGTCTTATTTTGCTTTATGTACTCTCTATGTCCATTCATCTTCTCTCTCTCATTTTATTAATGTTTCATTTGTTCAGTACAGTACTCTATTTATTTAACTTTCTACTAACAAACTCAGAAATATTAACAGGCATCCAGGTCTCATCCCCTGCCTCCCACACTAAGCTGCTGCATCCCTGCTTTTGCCTATTTTTCTCCTCATTAGCCTATTCTCTAATCCTTGGTACAATTTACACACCAATTATCTATTGTGAGCCCTACTTGAACACTCCTCTACCTCACCAAGGACTACTGCATTGGCAGCAAGAATATGATTAATTCCTCACAAGGTCCTAGTCTCTCAATGAATTAGCTAAACTAAACCTAGCTATTGATTGAACTATCAATCAATAACTAACTAAACCTAGCTATTGATTTTTATAACTAAACCTAGCTATTGATTAAAGTTGAGCTTTAGTTCCTGCTTCTTTACAGTTACTCACTCAATGTGATGCCTCCCCGACCCCATGGGTCACACACAAGATTGTTTCTAAAACTCAAACAAGATTATTTTTAAATATTGCATGAGGAAGTAGAATGTTATATATACCATACTTTAATAAGAAGTACAATATCTGCAACATATTACAGTGCATTAGTTTTGGGCTCCCCTGAAACACATAAGATCACAAGAAACTATAAAGACACGAAAGCATAATCGTGATGAAGGCAAAAAGCCAGCATTGAACATAATGAAATGCCATTTTCTGGGCGAGCCCCGGGTGCTCCCTGAAGATACTCTGAATGTATATGTGCAATATTAGTTTGGGGTCATCAGTCACAGAAGTTCTTATGCCTACTGGGGACCATGAGCCAGAACCTGGTCCCTTCAGAGGCGCAGGGAGCAATGGCCTATGAGCACTTTACATTTAAAGTATGCTATAATTGCCATCAACTAGAGAAGGACCCAGAAAGATTGGTGAATCAAAACAGACCACTATATGTTTAACCTGTGCAATCTTCATCCCAAAATATCAAAATAACTCCAGTAAAAAGAAACCAAACAAGCAACCCTTCATGTGTGTAGCACTTCTGCTCCTTAGCGCTACCCCCTCACCCATAATGGGAGAGGGGGAGCTGGCAGCCCATCACTCCAGTTCCTGAATGACGAAAACCACCGACCAGAGGTCGAACAGGTCGACCCTGTTCGTCCTCCAAAAACTCCATGTCTGAATGTCTACCCAAGACTTCTTGCCAAAAACCGCTTTGAGAGCAGCATACTTCTGAACTTCATAGGCACGAGGGTAGACTGCAGGCTGGCTAGACTTTATGGCACAGCCAATAACCTGAGACACACGAGCCCCTGGAACAGGAAACTAGGGAAACTAGATCCAGTGAAAGAGCGTCCACCATCACAGAACCAGTGGTCTGCAGGTAGCAGCATAAAGCCGCCACCGGGCACAACACATGATGCACCCCGAAAGCCTGCCATCTCATTCTTCGCCAGAAAAGAAGGAGAAGGCTGCAAACTAACAAAACGACCACCTGGACCAAGCAAACAGAACCCCTGGCATTGGAGTAGAGCATGAAGTTCCTTAACCCTAACCCCAAGGGGCCAAGGCCAACAACAACAAGGCCATCCAACACAATCCCTAACCAAAGGGGCCACAACAAAGCGAGGAGAAGAAATTAAAGAAAAAACACTGTCTGAAGACTAAGAAGCCTCAGGTGGCGCATGAGCAAGCCAGAGGCAAAAAGATGCATGTTAGCAGAATAGAGCAGAAGCAACATCCACCCTGAACGCAAGCTGGAGCGGCTCTGCCAATGCCGTGCAATAAGAAGCGACAGTATTAGGCACGAGATGCCAATCTAGAAAATGCCAAGAGAGAAAGGACAAAACAACCTGGTCCGAAATCAACGAAAACCTTCGAAGAGAAAGGTATGGAAAAACCGCCAGGAAACTTCATACTGTACTGTCGCTCGGAAAAAGACCACAGGAGGGAAACCATTAAAGAAGCCACCTGATCATCATATAAATAGCGGTACACACACACACACACACGTTAGAAAGACCAGACGTGTGGTATGGAGCAGAAATGTGCTGAAATGGGCCTGAACTGCTGAAAGAGGTGGAGCCGCGAAAAAAATGCACGTCCTCGGACACCGAGCAAGCATCGCTTGAAACTAAGGCTGGGCTGGCCATCATGGAGCCAGGTAAACAACTTACCCCAAATATGAATCCAGCCAAGCCAGAACCCAGAGCAACAGCTGGACCGGAGAGAAGAGGGACAGGAACCCCCACTTCGTCCAGGCCTGCAGAAAAGCATCTACCGTGAGGGTCTCGCAGTTGGGGAATGGCAGCACGGACAATGGGAGATGCCGAGACCACTTCCGCACTAACAAGCGGAAGTGCTAGTCACACGAAGGGTTGCTTGTTTGGTTTCTTTCTAGGGGAAGTTATTTTGATCTTTTGGGATGTAGATTGCACAGGTTAACCAGACAGTGGACAGTTTTGATTCACCTACCTTTCTGGGTCCTTCCCTGGTCGATGGCAATTATAGCATACTGTACTGTACTTTAAATGTAAAGTGCTCAAATGCTACTGCCACCTGCACCTCTCCGAGGGGACCAGGTTCTGACTCGTGGTTCCCAGTAGGCATAAGGACACCTGTGACTGATGACCCCAAACTAATATAGCACATATAAGTTCGGATAGCTTCAGGGAGCCGATGGGGCTCCCCCACGGAAAGTATGCGATCACAATGAAAACAAGAGAGCATTATCACAACACAATTGCAAATTAAACCATCTAGTCACAAGCAAAATCAAACAAGTATGAATGAAAAAATTTAAGTGCCATAAGGTACTTACATGTTTTTGAGTAAAGTATACTCAGACTTCCTACTGCAAACTTCTAAATTTGTGTACCTGAAAAAATGCCACATAAACATTGGACTTAGAGGACAGGACGGGACATCCCTTTATTAAAACACGAGTACTCTAAAATGACAACATTTACATGAAGCAGCAAACAGGAAGTGACAACAACAAAAACACAAGATTTGTAACAGTGGAAAAAAAATAGCAGTGCTGACTTGGTAAGTTGTTTAAATAAAAGATAGTTAGTCAATTTTATTTTCAATACCTTTAACAAACTTGTCAACTATGTTCACTTACTAAACCTGGTTTCAAAATGACATTTTTGTTGATTTCTTCGTATTATACACAACAAGTCTTAAAAAATTCAGAATATTTAAAATTTTCATGTACTTTATAACTCATTTCTTGAATTTTCCCACACTGTAAACAATATGAGAAAAGCAATGTGGGAAAGTTTAAGAAATGAGTGGTAAAGTAAATGAAAATTTTAAACATTCAATTTTTGTTTAAAGATTTTTGTTGTGTATACTGCAAAGAAATTAACACTAAATTAATTTGAAAACAAAACAGGTTTAGCAAGCGAGCATAGTTGACAAGTTTATTAAAGGCATAGAAAATATAACTGTCTTAAAACCACTACAGGTATTTGGAAATGAATAATTATCCAATAACATTTATATTTATCTCAATATACCATTTCATAAGATGACACAATAGCCATTTCATACAAAGAAATACAGTAACCAAGACATATGGCTGTGTGTCCATGTAAAACATTTACAAGATCCATGGTCACAAGTACAACCTACAAAATTGAATGTGTAATTAAAAATATCTTTAGTCAGTCAGCGTTGTACTGATGCAGTATTTTATTCAAACAAGTCAAACTACATTGAACTGAAGCAGTCGTTGTCAAGGATACAGTGGTACACTGTGCATAATTTTCTCCATGAATTTGAAAATCTGTATGTAAAATATAAATTTTCTTGAAACTAATTTTTATACTGTACAAATTTCAACAAATAGATACAGTATCACAAAGTTCACAAAGGCTTCCACAGAGAAATTATAACACAAACATTTCCCACTACAATTAGGTAATGACACTACAGCATGTACCTAAAGAGTTAAATAAATTCTTGATCAATAACAATTCAACATCCGTACCAACCTCAGGAGCATAACACACACGGCCACAATGCTATATGCAAGAAGAGTTCCAATGCTCATCATGTCCACCAGTTTATCCAAGTCAAAAAACATTGACATAAGTCCTGTGGGATAATAGGAATACAGTACTGTATTATAATACTGCCCTCTGTAAACCATTTCACACTACAGCAAGTATCCACAGCAACTGTACAGTAGACATGAATATGTCAAACACACATTACATACAATATTTAGGCATGCAAAATCTTATCACGAATTCAGATATTAATAAATTTTAATACGGTATCAAACCTCTCATCCATCAGTTCTGCAAGCCATTTAGTTCCATGTCTTCGCACGTTTTCCAGTTTGTTGATGTGCTTAAGATACGGGTACCATACAATCACTGTATTTTCCAACTTTGATCTCACAAAGGTCGTGAACAATTTTTTTAGTATTTTGCCATCCATGTATTTTAAAGCAATTTTGAAATTGGAAAATGTAGCATAGACTCCTCACACAATGTTCTTTATGTGGTCCTCGGGTGATAGTTTTCTATCTAGAACCACCCCAAGATCTCTTTCTTTACCAAATTTTTAAAAGTTTTTCACATAATTTGTAGGTTGTGTATGGCCTATTTTTTCCTATTCTACATTCCATAACATGGCATTTATTCACATTAAATTCCATTTGCCAAGCATTGCTCCATGCACTTATTCTACCCAGGTCTTCTTGAAGGGCATGACAATCATCTAAGTTTCTTATCTTCCCTAGTATCATCAGCAAACATGTTTGTATAATTTTGTATTCTTTCTGGTAGATCTTTTATGTATACAATGAACATTATTGAAGTAAGAACTGAACCAGTAGTACTCCACATGTAACATTTCTCTAGTCTGATATATTGCCTCTGATTACTGCCCTCATTCTTCTATCAACAAATGTTTCAACTATGTTAGAAGCCTCCCCATCACTCCCTAAATATTTCTCAGTTTCCAGGACACCCTGTAATGGATCTTGTGTGGTGTCCTATTGTGACGATAATCTCCTTCAAGAGATTGAGCCTGCTCTTCCCTCCAAAATTACGTCTTCACAATTATATAAAAAGACTATGGAAGAAATGTCCAACAACGACAACAACACCAGCACCAGCAAGGCTTGCCAGGGTGAGCAGAAACGTATGCAACCAGCCACCTGTTCGAACTCCAACCACCAAACTACCCGTTGATCGCTACGGCTCCGCTGATTGGTCGCCGGTCTGGCTGCACCTGCACTCGCCCCCAATACTACCTGATGTCTGGGGTCACCCCAACATCAGTCCTCAGAATGTTCCGTGCTTTCGTAGCCAGCACTCCTCCCAGCTAGACGTTAGCGTGTACTGAGAGAGGTGGTGGCTTTAAGCCAATATTCCAGCACCTCCCACTTAAACTTTGTGTTGCACTTCTTGTTATTTTGCCTTAACGTAACTTTCATTGTGTCATTTAAGTATTCTTATTATTTTGATTCATTGATTTTATTATACATATTTGTTTGTGCATTATTTTCATGTTTTGATTTATTTAACGTAATTAAAATTTCATTGTTAAAGTTTACTTGTGTTTTGTGTGTCTTCTCCTTACCTTACCACAGACGAAGTTCCAGTTTTTCTATTTTTTTTTATAACTATGTGACGAGGCCATACCCCTAGCCTTAAACAGCCGAACACCAACGCGTTACCGTCACAAGTTTTATGGGGGCCTGTCCTAGGAGCCTCACTCAGGTACTGGTGCCAAGTGGTAATTTATGGTAAGCGTATTTAACCCTGTTAACGTAGCTTTACTATTTTTCATTCAATTTCATTTTTTATAAGGTGCGGTGTATTGTGCATTACGAGAGTAACATATAGTGAAGGTGAGACAACTTTGGATTACGTGGTGACTGTAGGCCTCAGTCATACTCTTAATTGGTCATCTCTCCCTCCATGTTATTACTCGTATTTACCATCTATGTCCCTTGAATATTTCTCATTCTGACAGATCATCATATTGGTACCCTGGTACTGTGGTCTGCCCCGGGTCAAGAGTACCCAATCTTCTGCAATCTGACTGTAGGAGGACAAAGAGGGCCATAGTTCCTCTAGCTCGAACTTTAGTTGCTGAATTGGGACCTCAGCAGCAGTTCTCGTCACCAGTTGACACCTCGCACCCCTACACGTCAGTCAGAGATGATGATACATACAACGGTAGGGAATTAGCTTATTTTTTCAGAGCACAAAAGTTCGCTAATTCTGTAAGTATCATATTAAATTCAGTAGGAAAAACTTGCTTTATGTCCTATAGAGACTTGGCAAGGTATGCCTACATCCTTGGACTACCAATTTTACTTTTGAAGCATTTAACTGTTTCATTTGTTTTCGAAACTTTGTTTCATTTGTTAGTAGGATTTTCTTGCCCTTATTCTCTTACATGAGTACCGGGTACAAGATTTCCTGCGCCCTTGATTTAATTTAATATCTTTCACTTAACGTTAATTGTTAAAGATCACACAGGATAGGTACCAGTTGCCACGTTGTCCTGTTTCTGACATTTCATTATTGAACATTCGTGTACCTTTATTTGCTAATTTCACCATGTTTCGTCTCCAAACTTTCCGTGCAAATCCAGCAGGTGAAATAGGGACTTTAAGTCGTGCCAAGAGGACTGAACTACAAACTCTTGCACATGAGTATCAACTAGAAGTTCCCTATCAAGCCAACAAAAATGACCTACACAACCTGTTGCTGGATTACTATTTAGAGCAAGGTAAGATAGACTCTGAAACTCATGAAACTTACTATATTGCAGATAAAACTGACTTGGCAACGATGAAACTTAAACTAGAGCTGGCTAAGATTGAACGTGAGCAGCAAAGGGAAGCCCGCGAACAGCAAAGGGAAGCCCTCGAACAACAAGAACGAGCAGCTGCCATACGAAGAGAAGAACAAGAACGCGAAGCTGCTTTGAGGAGAGACGAACAAGAACGCGAAATCACCCTCAGAGAACGTGAAGCTGCTTTGAGGAGAGAAGAACACGAACGCGAGGTCGCATTACTCCGTGAACGTGAACGAGTACAGCTTGAAACCAAACAACGCGAGTTGGAAATACAACGCGAACATGACAAGCAGCAAGCGACTCTGGTTCTTGAGTGTCGTCAACGGGAATACACGTTGGAAACTTCACACCTCGCTCAACGCCAGCAAGCTACTGCCAATCTTCCCATCAGTTTTAATATATCACATGCAAGTAAGTTAATGCCATCCTTTGTAGAAGCAGAAGTTGATGTGTTCTTTACCACCTTTGAAACCCTTGCTAATCAACTCAGTTGGCCTGTCGACCAATGGGCCACACTTCTCAGAGTCCATCTTACAGGTAGAGCTGCAGTCACACTCAGTACTTTGGCGTCTGAGAATGACTACTACACTCTGAAACAAGCAGTGTTGGACGCCTACCTCCTCTCTACTGAAAGTTATAGAAGGAAATTCCGTGACCACCTGAAGGCAAGTACCACTACCTTCCTCGAGTTTGCTAACACGAAACGGAGGTATTTCATGAAATGGCTGGAAGCAGCACATGTCTCTACTTTTACAGAACTCGTCAACCTGATGCTTGTTGAAGAATTCTTGAGACGTGTGCCGCCTCCTGTCCGCCTCTACTTAGCAGATAAAGAAGAAACCGACTACCTGAAGTGTGCTAAGTCGGCTGACACTTACAGCCTCATCCACCGGCTGACACCTGAACCATCCTCCAGTAAGAAGTCGTGGTACAGTTACGAGAAGGTGAGCCCCGATCAAGCTGGTTCACAACTGTACTGCAAATATTGTAGACTCTATGGACATACCATAGACAAGTGTGGTAAGTCTCAATACAAGGGAACCACTGACCAACAACGACCCAAACCAACTCCTCCTAAGTCCGGTAAGCCTGTGATGAATGTTGGTGTTGATGTTAATGATCTTTCTCTTTTCAGTAACCACCTGTATACTGGAACTGTCTCTGCCAACGGTTCAAATCCGGAGGGACGTTTCAAATTGAAGATCTTGAGGGACACAGCGGCTCTACAATCGATCATCTTGAAGTCGGCTGTGCCCAACATAGTCTACACCGGGGAAACAGTCTTCATCACTGACCTCACTGCTACCACTCCATACCCTCTCGCCAGAGTCCACCTGAATTGTCCCTACGTGAACGGGGAAGTCCAAGTCGCCGTCAGGGAAAAGCCTTTTCCCATGCCTGGAGTGCAACTTCTCCTAGGCAACGACTTGGCAGAAGACCTGCAACCAACCAACCTGATCGTCATGGACAAACCCCAGGTGTGTAACTCTGTGCCAAGTAACCCTATTCTTGAGTATGTTCCAGCAGAGGTTCAAGAGAGTGATGAAGTTTCTCCTCCGGTTCTCGTGACCACCCGTGCACAAGCCGCACGTCCACAGCCAGCTGACTCTACTGCTACCGCTGTCCCTCAAGACCCTCAGAAACTACCCCCGCATCTGACCAAGTTGGAGTTCCGTAAGTTGCAGAGGGAAGATCTTACTTTAACACCATTGTTTTTCCAGGCTGAGACTCAACCCGACAGTATTCCTGGGTTCTTCCTAGAGAACGACTTGCTCTACCGCAGATATAGACCCAGTAAACTGAAGGAGGAGGACGATTGGGCCAACACCGAACAACTTGTGATTCCCACCAGCCTGCGGCCCACTATTCTACACCTGGCCCATGGAGCATTCTCCCACTACGGCTTCAACAAGACTTACCATGGGATTCGCCAAGACTACTACTGGCCAGGTATGGTAAATAACGTCAAACAGTACGTAAAACAGTGTCATACATGTCAGATGGCAGGCAAACCGAACGTCTCCATTCCCAGAGCACCACTGATTCCCATACAGGTGCCTGCGGAACCTTTCCACAGACTCATAATAGACTGTGTCGGTCCTTTACCTCGGACCAGTTCAGGTAACGCCTACATCCTAACCATCCTGTGTCCTACCACCAGATTTCCCATAGCAGTTCCAGTGAAGAACATCACGGCTGCTACGGTTATCAAACATCTATTGAAGATCTTCACTCAATACGGATTTCCCAGGGAGATTCAAAGTGACTGTAGCACCAACTTCACCAGTGATCTCTTCAAAAGGACACTGGAGGAGTTCAACATCAAACAGGTATTGTCCAGCCCCTATCATCCTGCTTCACAGGGTTCTCTTGAACGTAGTCATCAGACCATCAAAGCACTCTTGAAAAAGTTTTGTAGTGAAACCTCAAAGGATTGGGATAAGCAGATTGACCTAATAATGTGTATTTTCAGAAGTCTCCCCAATGAGTCCCTAGGAGTATCTCCTTATGAGATGCTCTACGGCCGTAAGTGCCGTACTCCCCTTAAGGCTTTCAAAGACTCTCTCAGAGATGCCACCTTCAGTGAGCATCAGAATGTGCCCCAGTTTCTTCAAAACCTTCAACACATTCTAGAGAGAGTCCACCGCTTTGCTCATGATAATCTATTGAAAGCCCAGGTGAGAATGAAGACTCATTACGACCAGACCAGCAAAGTAAGAAAATTCAAGCCGGGAGACTTCGTCCTTGCTTATTTCCCTATCCCAGGTTCACCTTTACAAAACAGATTTTCAGGACCCTACTGCGTCAAAGAGTGCAGGAATAATAATAATTATGTGATAGAGACTCCAGATAGGCGGCGGAAGACCCAGCTGTGCCACGTCAACCTCCTGAAGCAATATAATGGTACTCCTCCCACTGTCTTGACTAATTATTCCACATTCACAGAACCCTACATCCACAAGGAGACCTTCCCAGCTTCTCCTCCCGAAAGCACTGACAAGGAGTCGGCGCCTTCTAATTCCAAAATCCTTAATGATCTTCCCAAATGCTTTCAGGATAATACTCGTGCTCCTATGCCCTCTTCTAATTCCACTCTCACCTCGTCAGATAAGCCCTTCATCCTCCATGTCGACGCCAATGGTACCGACGTGGGTGGTGTCGTGATGCAGCAACGAGGCGAGAAGAATACACTTGTCAGCGACTACTGCTACAAGGATCTACGGAACAATTGGCAAGGAGCTACTCTTCCTCATCCTGAAGCTTCAGCACTTCACTCCACACCTGAAAAGTGCTCGGTCCACCATCAATACGGACCACACCACCCTACACCTCCTGCAGCACGCCCACTTCTCATCTCAACGTCTTCTACTATGGGCTTGCTAACTGCAGAAATTCAACCTGGAGACACGCTATACCAAGAGTCTGACAACATCTTAGCCCATGATCTCTCCAGAGTTTATGAAGTAGAAGCAACTCCATCCATTACTCCACCACATAACGACGTACTTCTTCCAGAACCGCAGGCTTCGGGGGAGAGTTGTGACGATAATCTCCTTCAAGAGATTGAGCCTGCTCTTCCCTCCAAAATTACGTCTTCACAATTATATAAAAAGACTATGGAAGAAATGTCCAACAACGACAACAACACCAGCACCAGCAAGGCTTGCCAGGGTGAGCAGAAACGTATGCAACCAGCCACCTGTTCGAACTCCAACCACCAAACTACCCGTTGATCGCTACGGCTCCGCTGATTGGTCGCCGGTCTGGCTGCACCTGCACTCGCCCCCAATACTACCTGATGTCTGGGGTCACCCCAACATCAGTCCTCAGAATGTTCCGTGCTTTCGTAGCCAGCACTCCTCCCAGCTAGACGTTAGCGTGTACTGAGAGAGGTGGTGGCTTTAAGCCAATATTCCAGCACCTCCCACTTAAACTTTGTGTTGCACTTCTTGTTATTTTGCCTTAACGTAACTTTCATTGTGTCATTTAAGTATTCTTATTATTTTGATTCATTGATTTTATTATACATATTTGTTTGTGCATTATTTTCATGTTTTGATTTATTTAACGTAATTAAAATTTCATTGTTAAAGTTTACTTGTGTTTTGTGTGTCTTCTCCTTACCTTACCACAGACGAAGTTCCAGTTTTTCTATTTTTTTTTATAACTATGTGACGAGGCCATACCCCTAGCCTTAAACAGCCGAACACCAACGCGTTACCGTCACACCTATCTTCCCACTACTCTGTCATATGATGTTTTGAAACTATTGCCAGTTTTGGCATCCACTGCCTTCTCATTTAACTTGTTCTAACAGTCTACCACTCTGCAAAAAGAGAACTTTCTAATATTGTTTGGCACCTTTATTTCCTTAGCTTGAATCTTTAACTTTTTTGTCCTTGAAGCTGCAGGTTTCAATAATTCCTCTTAGGCAATTTTATCAATTCCTGTTGCTATTTAGTACATTGTGATCATTGGGACTGGTTTGCAGTTTTCTCCATAGCTTCACTACCTTCCTTGCTAAATGGAGCGATGTTCTCAGGATATGTTTGAGAATGATAGGACAGAGGCAGTGTAGGCGTGTAGAATCATGTTGGAGGTGTAACGTAACTTGTATGATGGACATGCAAAAGGAAGATCAAGAGAAGGATATAGGTGACATAATAGACAGAAGACAATCAATTCAAAACAAAAGGAAAGCTAGGAGATCAGGCTAGTAAGACTGATCTTAATGCAAAAACAATATTCTGTATGGTCTAGCATTGTACGGTAACTGATGCACAAGGATAGATGTACTGCAAATTACTCACCTGAAAATAACCCAGATAGCAGAGTTGCAATGGCAGGTGTATGAAAGCGCTTATCGACTCTGGACAAAAAGCGGAAGACCAATCCATCGTTAGCCATAGCGTATATCACTCGAGGGAGGGGAAACATTGCACCAAACAAGCTGCAGAGTAATTGAAAGCTTTTGATAATTTAACTGTTCCATTTTTTCCATGTAATGATTAAAATAAAACAATAACTTGCCAATCATATGTCAAGCCACTAACTACAATTGTATGATTGTAAGTAATTAAAATTAATTTTGTACTATCAGATGCTTTAACTTGATACCAATCCATAAAATAAATACGTTTATTTATTTATTTATTTTTATTTATTTATATATATACAAGAAGGTACATTGGGATTGTGAGGATACATAGCATAGTAATTACATTCTTGTAAAGCCACTAGTACGCGCAGTGTTTCGGGCAGGTCCTTAATCTAAGAAAATTTTAGGTAGGTAAATACTAGCAAAATTTATAAAAATGATAACAGTTACATAGCAAGAAAAAATAAAAGATGAGAGAAAATTGTAGGTATATTAAAGCACATAGGTAGCTCAGAGTGATTGCAATGACAGCTTGAATGGTAGTTTAACAAAAATTAGTAGGCAAAATACAGCATTTGGCTAGCACATGAAAGAAGACAGCAATGAACACAATGCTCCATACACTCCATACACTAGTTGTTTGGATTAAGTACATAAAGATTGGGAGATTGGGTAACACTAGATACAGAGCAAATTTAAAGCTCAGTGTAGGAAACTGCAAAGATGAAATTAGGTACTTTTTGGTTTTGTTTTCGAATAAGGAAAAAGTTTGACAGCTTTTCAATTCACTAGGGAGTGAGTTCCATAGACTAGGTCCCTTTATTTGCATAGAGTGTTTACACAGATTAAGTTTGACCCTGGGGATATCAAAGAGATATTTATTTCTGGTGTGGTGAATGAAGTTAAGAATATGATTCAATGAGACATCTACTTATTAGGTAATTAAAATTCTGAAACCTCTTAAGTCATCTGGAGGTCCTAATGCGATGAAAAAACAGAGCCTCAGCTTGAAACAGCCTGAGGAGGAATCAATTGTCACTTGGTGATGGTACCCAAGGAGGCAACCACCCAGGCAACTACTTTATTGGTTGTTAAGAGTAGCAGAGCAATACCTGGCAGTCTCTTATTTCAAAGTATTGTTTGAAGAAGGTTTATGAGTACACTGTATAGTGGATATATACATAATCATGTAAATACGTTATTTTAAGCTTTCACTTCGGTTCATATTTCTAGTACCTTATTTATATTCCCCTTGTTTAACTATCATTTGCACACTTCAATATTACCTCTTGCTTTGTGCCTCCCAGGGAATATAAATTGTATTTAATCTCTTCACAATGAATATTCCTAATGACTGGGATAATCTTAGTCATCCTTTGTAAACTCCCAAGATAATTTATATCCATTCTACAGAACAATGCCCAAAACTGTACTATATAATTCAAGTAAGATCTCACATGATGGAAGTTGAGGGATGAACACCTCTAGGTATGAATCCTGACACCGTATTGACCTTATTAAACAAATGTTCAGCATCAAAACACACCTTACCTTGCAGAAAACCCAACCAAAGCACCAACACTAACAATCCATTTGGACACTTCCCATCCAAGCTGAACAAAAAGTTCCACCAAAGGAGCATCTGGATCCTGAAATAGAGAACAGAATCAAAGGAAATGAGTCAGGTAATCCTGTCTGAACATCCATATTCAACTAATACTGTCTTAAAGAATCAAGAGTCAATACATCATGGTGTTACATGCAACAAGATGTATTTCAAAATTAATAAAAATATGAAAAAATAATTAAAAATCCAACGTTGAATGTAATGAAACACCATTTTCTGGGTGAGTCCCAGAGGCTCCTTGGAGCTATCCAGGCTGCTATGGATATCCTAACTATTTTGCATCAGTCGATGTGGGTGGAGTTCTAGGCCTACCAGGCCCCCCTCACAGAGGCACGAAGAGCAATGGCCCATAGGAATGCACAGGTGATTTGGAGCATTCTATATTTGCCATCGACTGGGACAGGCACCCAGAAAGGTAAGCGCCGCAAAACAAACCCCCATTCTGGTTAAAACAACGAAAATCTCCAAATGAGTGGACAGAACTCCCCAAAAGAAAAAGGAGCAAACAAGCATGATGTTACACGAGCCGCGACGCATGTCTGTACAGCTCCCCACCTCCCCAGGAGGGGGAAGGGGGAGCCCCAGACCCTCACGCCGGCAATCCATACTTCAGTTCTGAGGCTGGATATCAAAAACGCAAAAAAAACGGCGATCGAAAGGAAGGAGGGTTGCTGGGGAGCCTCCAGGACTCACCCAGAAAATGGCGTTTCATTACATTCAACTCTAGTTTTCTGAGGGAAGCCCCTACCGTTCCCCGGAGCTGCTTCACCAAAGACGAAAACAGAGGGATTCATCTGGGAGGCTGTTGGTGCGCACACCACAACACGAAGTCGAGACAACAGGCTGCAACAGCCGACTCAAGACAACACAGGACTGACTAGGCCCAGGAACATACACGAGCGCGCGCGCAGCCAGGACCCACCGCGACCGCCAAAACAACCCTGTGCCCGAATGACAGCCCAAGACATACCGCCACCCAAGACTGCAGCCAGCGCAGCAAACCTATGAACATCAAGGGAACAGTGAGAGACCGTAGGCCGGCTGGACAGAAGGACCCAGCAGACGACCTGAAAGACCCGAACCCAAGAACAGGGAAGAAGGGAAACTGGATCAGCCCAAAATGCAGCCCCAGACACAGAGGCTGTGGCGCGTAAAGAATGGTGGAGAGCCGCAACTGGACACAAGAAGAAACACCTCGGCCAACCAACCAAGCAGCAACAGCCCCAGGGACCCCTCCAGAACCTAAGGGGCCACAACAAACCGAAGGGAATAGAGAAACGAACACCCTGCCTCAGAGCAGGACAGCTCAGGTGGAGCATGAGCAGGACGAAAGTGAACAATGCCCGAGACAACCCGTGAACGGTGCAGAAGGAACAACAAAAACCTGAGCAATCCGAAGGAGCTCCGCCAGTGCTGCATGAGACGAGAGCGACGGTATGCGGCCAGAAGATGGCCCTGAACCACCACGAAAGAAGGACAAGACCACGACAACAAAGAGCACAGTACACCTACGAAGAGACAGAAAAAGAAGGACCGCCAGAAAACCCATACCGCCGCCGAGACAAAGTACGCAGGTGGGACACATTCCAGAAGCCAACTGATCACCAAACAGATGGTGAGAGAGACTGGTCAAAAGTACCAGACTAGAAGACTCGAGGAGAAGACCGAACCAGCCCCACCACGGACCGAACCGACCATGTAAAAGAGGCGAAGCCATGGGAAAGCCCCGGGCATGGACACCAAGCAAGCCATGCCGGAACCAAGGCTGTCAAAGAACCAAAAGGAATGCCTGCCAGGGAGGCAACCCCCCCACCCCCACCCCGGGACCCATAAAGAAACAATAAGCCCAATAACTGACAACAAAAAGCCGCTGCTTGCAGAAACTGCCAAACCACAAACTCTGCAAACAGCAAAGGTCAAAAGGGCTCCCCTCAGAAAATATGTACTATGAAAATAGATTACAATTTCAGAACATGTCAAAATTGGAGAACAAGACAATTATAATTATAGTAAACAACAGCCATGCGAGTTTACAAAAGAATATGAGTAAACAGTTTTTGAAACCAGCTATTTGTAAAGCTAATGATTCTAGTTGTAAATTACAAAAGAAACAGCAGAGAAAGGATAACAGAAAACATATTTTCATCAACAGGATTGTGGATGGCTGGAATACACTCTAGGAGGAGAGTGCATGCGCACAAACAACTACAGTATACAGCACAGTATATAATGAAATTTACAAAATGAGATGGAACACTAAGAGCATACATTGACTATCTGAAGATAAAAATACATACTGACATAAAATATATAATGGGTAAAAGCACTACGTAGACAAAAACTGATTGAAGGCCCTGTATACAGTACAGTATTAGAAATAAAAATTTAGAATATCACTTACTGCCATGCAGTAAGGTACTGCCAGTGTGAGAACTGAAGATATACCAAAGTATGATAAAAATACCAACAGGAGAGAGATGCTGATGGCAATAGGAATGCTTCGTTGTGGGTTGATGGCTTCTTCACCTGGAGTAGAAAAGAAAAACTTTTGAGTGGTCATATATGAAAAACTCCTCTCTATGAATGATACTCAGTTGTTTCCTACTGTAAGATCAACTATGTTTAATGAGCTGAATCAGGGACAATCAGGTTGGGTGACATTCTGGCACTGGCAATGCAGGGAACAAACCAATTATTATTTTATTTTGCAGGTGTTGTGATGTGCAGGTTATACTGATGCTAAGAATTATTGAAGTAAAAATTTCATTTCAGCTCAAGAATGTCATCAGAGACAATTTATTAATAAGAAACTATTTTTAAGCCTTCCTTGCAAAACAAGTGAATGACAATGGAGCAGTCTCATTAACTACCAGTTAGCCCAGCAGGTCAGCATCTAAACTGCCACCAGGATGTAGCACAATACTCACAAGAGGGTTCCCAAAGCAAAATCTTTCCTCATTATTCCCGAAATGAAAAATACGGCAAAGAATGAGGGACAACAAGGAGAGAACAAACAACAGTGCCCTGCTCAGACAGGTGCCTTATTTCTTAGCTATTCTACTGTTGCATCCTAAGGGTAAGGGTATTAAGAAGAACATGTAACCATAAAATATAAAAAACACATGGCAAGACTTAACTGTACTTAAGTGGTGTTTGAAGGATGAAACTGGCAGAGTCCATGCCCAAAACACAGACCACTTCAGAGAACATGCTCAACTACACAAGCCACAAGAAAAGGTGACAGTAAAGAGTACCATAATACCATATGGATAGTACCATACACCAGTGGTGCCACATGTGAGGGAGAATTGCTAGATAGTAGAAGGGCAAATATTTGAGATGCTGCAGAGTGGTGCCTGAAAAAATCTGAAGGGCATACAACCCAACCAAAATTGACTGAGAAGCAAGGACACCGACACAGTCACCATCACCAGTCACCACCACAGTCACCACAGAGAATCAGTAAGGAGAGTATGTCAAAGGCCAAAAAAAAGCAAACTGTAGGAAGATGCAGAATTGCATTATGTGGTGGGACCACCAGTAACCTCAAGTTCTCGTCTGCATGTAAGACATGGCAGAAAAGAAGCCATGTGGCATAGAGAATACCCGAGGCTGATGAAGCTGCCTGCATAGCAGCTTTAAAAGCCTGATATAGGAGTGACCACAAAAATAAATATGGTTTTGAGGAAGGCGAGAATGAAAAAATGCCTAACTTGGATAAATAAGGGAAAAGCAATATTTAAAAGCTTTAACCACTGAACTGCACCAACCGAGTATTCTCAGTTGGTGGGAACTGCGCCAACCGAGAAAACTCTCTTTGATTTTTTCGTACACATTCTAAATGTGTGTGCGGTTGGTTGTGTACAAAATGGACTCTTAGGACCTTCAGTGAGAGGCAGACATCTTGGAAAAAATTCCCAAAAAGCCCTAGGGCTGCTGGCTGGAATAGTACTGAGTGAGCAACCATGGGTGGTGCATGCGCCTCTGGCTCCCAAACACCTGTCCAACGCGGTGTTGAAAGATCGCGCGCTGTCGGTGAAATTCAAACCTTAATGTTTGAAAAAAATAAGGGTCATAATATTGGTGAAGCCAGGCGCAATAAGGACCTAACACAAAGGTCGGCTGCAAGTGATACAGCACCTATGAGGATGATACAGCGAGCGTATCCAGTTGTAGCTCTGAGCACCACCCTTGCCCACCTATGCTGTCTCCAATTTATATAGATGATACATAGATGAATCGTTTTCTGCCTTCAATGATGATGCATCTGATACAAGTAGCATAGATGAACAGTGTTAGCGGCTTCCATGGTGGTGTTTTCCATATATACTTTCAAGAATAGCTGAATCTCTTCTTGACTGACAGACACTCTTTGAGGCTGGCTGAATCTCTTCCAGACTGATGGACACTCTTCGAGGCTAGCTGAATCTCTTCCTGTGTGGGACCTTACAAAGCGATCTTTTCAAGACTACCTTACAAACTGATCTTTTCAAGACTACCTTATGCTTTACAAGCTTGGCTACATACCACCTACAGGTACTAAAGCCAAGGGTGTACGTGAGTGCATTATTTGCAAGCACACAGAACGAAGAAACAGGAAGTGAAAATGTATCTGTACCTAGTGCAATGAAAGTGAAGTCGCGCTGTGTACCATGGACTACTTCGTTGATTATTACTCACTTCCAAAGTACTATGTAATACATTGTGCTACTGTGTAGTGTGTGAAACTGTACATACTGTAATTTTAGTGAATTTCTTACAAGTAATATTGCAACAATAAACATTTATTGTGGACACATTACTGACACATGTATCACAGTTCCATGGAACATTATGAACGTTCTACTGTATACATATTGTAAAAGGACACAAATATGCATCATATATGATAAAAAAAAACACATTGGAAATACATAGAACAAATAATTGAAAATATATTTGTGGCAACACCCGGTGCTTGAATGGCCCACGAGACCGTGTCTGGGAGCTCCAAACACGGGCGACCTGCCCCTGATGACATCACAGCGCACCTTGTCCATGTCCCCACAGCCAAAGTAAGTGGAATTTGGTATTTATTTTTACATAGACATGTTCGAGGAAGGGAATTTATCATTTTACAAAGATAAAATAATTTTTTGGGAACACCTGATTTCATGCGCACAGGGGGAATTTCACAATAAACTCGGCGCATCACAGTGATTAAGGAACAATCCTGGCAGTTTGGGGAAGCTGCCAAGAGTGTCAAGTTGCAAAGTAATTCATGGCTGATTATCACACCCACCCTCCTGTTTAGATGGTACTTTTTGTAACTATGCGCACCATAGTACAAACACTGATGTGCTTTGAACTATGGTGACACTTTGTACTTTGACACACCCACACACAAACACACATGTGAACCAAATACACAGTTAGTATTAAGAATCTTATACACCAGGAAACTAGGTTTCAAAGTATGTAACAAGACACTGTAATTGTTACATCTCGGCTTCTACTAGCACTCTGTGGACGGGTCTTGTCCTGTCAAATGAGAGATGTTTCAGGTCACTATTTCTCCTCGAATCTGTCTTGTTCCTTGCATTCATCAAGCATTTATTCATACATTTATGAAACCTGCACTTTTTTCAACAACCATAGCATCTTAGTTTACATTTATTAAACAGTTTATGAGCTTAAACTACACAACTCGAGGTTATTATTGTAAACAACCTTGTAGTGCCTCAGCATTCATAACTGTTTAATAAATTTAAACAAAGCTGCCATGATGTTGAAAGATATACAGGTTTTGTAAACGACTGTGTAAATGATCGATGAATCCTGGTCTTGGTCTTTATTTGTTTACAGTGGGTGCTTTCTTTCTGAAATGTATATGGCAGAATTCATTCTCTGACAATTGTTTCTTGATCCTCACTGTCAACACTTTTTCCACCTTGTCCAATTATAGGGAAAAAAATTTATTTTCCCTATAATTCCTATTTTCCTTACTTTCTATATAGGGAAAACCTCTAAAAATAAATATAGTTCATGTTGGTGGTCTTTTGTCATATCTAGCATTTGATAAACATCAATAATGATCAGATTAATGTCAAGGTATATAAATTCAGAAGAGCTTGATATAATAGTTAACTTACCAGTTGTGGCAATACAGTCAAAGCCAACAAAGCCAAAGAAGCATGAGGCTGCCCCCTGCATGATTCCATTAAATCCGTAAGGTGTAAAGCCACCAACACCCCAATCTTCCTGATTCTTTCGAAGATCTTCTGTACATGTATCATTGAGGCTACTTTCAGGTATCGCCCAATTTTTTACATTAGCTGAAATATAATATCAACAAATATAGCAACAATATAAGTGGTAATCCCTAAATATCATTATTGCACTGTTTTTCCCACTTTTGTTGACTGGAGAAGCATTCGCTTGGATCAAGTCCCTCACCCATTCACCTTATTACACACAATACATATATAGCAAAATGAAGAAACAAACACCATCACATTCTAGCAAATTATCCAAAGTTAAACACCAACCACTTCATAAGGTTTGAAATACAATGTGCCTCATGAGTTAGTTATATATAGTCCTACAAACATATTCACTCCCTCACAAACAGCTGCCACCAAGCTTTGACCCTTACTATATCCCATGTACTGTTCACACTCAATCCCATCTCCATCTCCCATTTCCTCCATCTTTGGGCATTTAGAAAAGGAAATATCATCTAGGGATGGACAGAGCAGCAGAAGATATGAAAATCATAAATAAAATAGTAGGTTTAGGAGAAGGCCTACATTCAAAGGAAAATGTTAGTGATTTTAGGATAGGAAAATATGAGAAAAAGGAAGAACTGCCCCTTAAGGGTGACATCTAATGGAGTGAAACACATGATGGAAGTGCTTAGAAATGCCAGGAAATTGTAGTGTGATGAGGATGGCAAACTTTGGTCAATAAGACAAGACCTCTCAAAGGAAGAGAGAGAAAAGCTGAAAATTAACCTCATTGAAGCAAAATGTCTAAATGGGAATAGAAATGAAGAAGGAAGAAATTATTTTTTCTACAAAGTGTTAGGGACTGGAAAGTTAGTGAAATGGTACATAAAAACAAAGCAACAAAATCATTAGAGGAAGGGGGAGTCAAGAACAAAGGGAAAGGGAACGTGTTCCTGAAAATTTTATATACTGTACCAACATAGATGGAGCGAGATAAAAAATATTGGAGCTGAAAGATATAATTCAGCGTAAGGTCCCAGATATTGTCGCATTAACAGACGAAACTTAAAGAAAATATTTTAAATGAAGTTGTATTCCCAAGGGGCTACTCACTTTGGAGACATGACAGGAAAATTAGGAAGGGGGAAGGAGTGGCTGTGCTGGTGAAAAAACACCTGAAGGTAAAAGAGCTAATACTTGAAAACCATTGAGAAGTTGACATAATGACATTGCAGGTCTGGAATCAGGATGATAAACTGATAATTGTAAATGCCTACAGCCCACCAGCAAGCAACACATGGACAAAGGAGGAACTGGATGACAAAGGAGGAACTGGATGACAAATGAGAGGGCCTTGTAATAGTCATTAGAGAGATTATAGTAAAAGTGAATCGAGATAAATCAAGATAGTTAGTACTGGGGGACTTCAACTTTAAAGCAATAGACTGGGAGGCCTACAAAGCAAGAACGGAAGACATCTGGACAGGCAGATTTGTGATCCTCATTCTGGAAACATTCATGTATCAACACGTCAAGCAGACCACGAGAATGAGGGAAGAGGATGTTGTCAGTCCTGGATCTAATATTCACCAGGAAAGATGAAGGGGTATTTGGCATCCAGTACCTTCCTCCCTGGAAAAATTGTGATTATGCCCTGTTGGACATTAAATATGCTTTGCAATATAATTTAGAAGAAAATGGAGACATTGAAACAGTTGACAAACTCGATTTCAAGAGAGGACACTATGGGAAACTTAGAATTTTTTTAATGAGTTTAATTGGACAGACTTGTTGCTAGGCATGGAAGTAAATGAGATGTATGCCAAATTTTGCAAAATATACAATGAAGGCACACAAACATTCATACCAAAACAGAAATGCAGGATCAGAAAACAGGATTGGTTCAATAGAAATTGTGAGAGGGCCAGAGGAGAATGCACTGAAGGGAAAAGTTGTTGAAGTAAATTCCATCTACAACGTACAAAAATATGATGAAAACATTAATAATGCTGAGAGAGGTAATTAGTGCACTAACTATAAATGGCGAGAAAGTGGGACATAAAGAGCTAGATCTTACTCCTTGTAGTCAATAACAGGCAAGAACTAATAGGTAACCACTTGGTCACTTAGGCAGTATCCTGCCTCCTCAGGAACACAGTGGAATCCAGTAGAGGTTATTGCAACCTTATCAGTCTATGCTGAGAGACTGCCAAGCCTTTCCAAACAACCCCTGCCTGAACATTAATTGAGAAAGGTAGACTGGAGAATACTCGACCCACTCCTAAATGATCATCAGAAGGTAAAATTTCTGCAAACTTATAACACCTCTTCCATGCAATACTTATGTTATTGCTAGCCACCAACTACTTGTTGACTGAATAAATTATTTCTAATTACAAACACAAATCACAATAGCGTGATGCATCGAATGAACAAGCTACCATGTCGTAGCTCAGTCGATTAAGGTAGCGTCTGGGATCCTCTCAGACGTAGGTTCGAACCCTCGTCACGGCCCTTGAGGATTTGTTTATTTCTAATGTCTCTATGGATCATTTGGGTATTCAGTTTCCACATGTGTGCCTTTATTTGTGTACTACCCTTTCAAAATTTGTTCTTGTCTGGTGACATCTAGTGACAGGTCAGGGTAGCAGCCAGGCGAATCGTCCAACGGTCATCCTTGGCTTGATTGAGAATTCCCCTTCTCTCTCTTCCTCTATTCACAGCTTGGCGAGAGTGATTTGAGGAGATCCCACTGCATCAACATACTGTACTCACAACACACTAGCTGGAGAGAGTAGGAAATTATCGGGAGAAAGTGCCAAGCCATTACGACTACAGTATATAGCACTGGGTAGGGGTCAGAATAAGGATTTGAGATAGGACTGGAGGGAAGAAATGGTGCCCAACTACTTGGATGGTCGGGGATTGAACGCCGACCTGCATGCACTAGCTGAAGAGTACACTAACCTTTTGTTCCAGCTGCAATAATGACATAGATTATCACCAGCATATTCACAGTGGTGAATAAGTTGTTCATTCGTGATGAGTTCTTTACGCCGAGAGACAAAGCAACTGTAACAAAGAGTATTACAGCATTTCAGAATCAACATTAATGTTGAGTGTATAACATTAATATATGTAAGTGCTCTATTGTTATTTGGGTTTCAAACATGAACACACAAAATTCATGAATTTAACAATTTTGATTACTCAACAAAAATCAGGAATTAGAACAATCACAAATTCCAGTCCCAGACACAACTCTGCTCCTTTACTGAAATCTTTGAACATGTTAAATATCAAGTCTCTGTACATACTCTCAAGTGTTCTCTATATCTATAAAACAATGAACTTCAATGTCAATCCTGACCTTAAGTGCTTCCTAGAAGGTTGTAATACAGCTCATGGTCACCACACGAAAAAGAAATCTCTTTGATAATGCTAGAGCAAGACTCAACCAAAGCAGAAATGCTATGCAAATCAGGGGTCCCAAATTGTGGAATGACCTCCCAAATGTAATTAAAAGCTGTACATCTCCCAATCATTTTTAAAGAGACTAAGAAATGCAGGCGATGAGTCAACATCGCCTGCATTCACAATCGACTTGAGAATGGTCCAGGACGGACCGAAACGTCGTCGTCCCTTCAACTTCTAGTGTGTGGTCTGGTCAACAGACTAAGAAATATTTCCTCAATATCATGTAATTAATACCTTATAAACAATATTACGTAACTAATTTTGCTCACATCTTCCCTCGTAATAAGTTATTTCTGGGCCCTTTTTTGGTCAATGGCAAGTATACTTGCCATTGCTTTATACGTAAAATGTCAAGTGCTCATAGGCCCTTGCTCCTCTGTGAAGCCAGGTTCCGGCTCTGGTTCCCGGTAGGCAACAATAACTCTGCAACTGATGCCCCATTATAGCACTATATCAGTTTGGATAGATTCAGATACCCTCAGGAGCTCACCCAGAAACTGGCATTTCATTACATTCAACGCTGGTTTTTTGTGTTACTCCTATCTTAAATTATTTACTAAGAATTATGTACTTTCTACATTCAATGTCATCCAACTTCTTGCATCACTCATGTCCTTTATGATCCTTGTTTATTTTTAAGTGTTGGACCCATTAAACATAAATTATACTCTATTACCCTATGTTCCATTATGTTCCAAGAAATTGTTATGAGAAAGGGACCAGTTGCTTTTCTAAATTACACCTTGTACAGTATTTCTATTCTGTTATTAATGTAAATAAACTACTGTACTGTTGCTAGAACTACTGACTGCATAATTTACAACTATATGCCTGTCATCCTGAAGTATCACCCATTTTGTATTCATCTGTTATTTTTCTTGAACCTTCACATTTTCTTAGCTTACTTCTCTTTTAGTAACAAGTGTTTTACCCTCTCACATCTTTAGTTAAATTTTTGTTCTATATTATTCGAAGTTTTGCCCGAAACTCTTTGCATAACAGTGGATTCATGTGTAACTCTTGTCCCTACAATTGTACATTACTGTATTCTTATGTTCTTTGTACACACATTTCTTTTAAATAAACATTATTATTATTATTATTATTATTATTATTATTATTATTATTATTATTATTATTACTTTTTATAAGGCATGAAACTAAATAAGTATTGTAGTGCCATGGTGATACCTGTGATACCCTGCAATGTTTTCGGGGCTTAGCGTCCTCGACCAGGCCTACTTTTTGTTACACATCCCCAAGAAGCAGCCCGTAGAAGCTGTCTAACTCCCAGGTACCTATTTACTGCTAGATGAACAGAGTCATCAGGGTGAAAGAAACTCCGCCCATTTGTTTCCACCTCCGCCGGGGATCGAACCCAAAACCTTAGGACTACGAATACCGAGCACTGTCCACTCAGCTCTCAGCCCCATATGGTCAATGTATGTTCAGTGAAGTCGATTCACAACTGAAAGGCTTCGGGTAGGATTCTCATACATGATGGATGTTTGGGCGTCTGCCTCTGTTCATCTAAAGAGTAAATAGATACTGTACTCAAAAGTTATAGCTATTAGACTTTACTATGTGCATAGCAATTAGGCTTTATTTTTATTATAGCAATTATGCTTCACCACGAGTATAGTAATTAGGCTTTTATGTATATAGGAGTTAGGCTTTGCACTGTAATAATAAGCTTTATAATGTACAATATAATATACATTATGATTATATTGTATAGATATGCTTTCATCAACACTTGTATGTGCAACTTCAATACTAAAATTCAAGTTCTCAAGAACAGGTTCAATATACCTGTACACAACTTTAATTATAGGAATCACCTAGATCCAAAAAAACAGAAAAATTACCTAATTAACTAACTAAATTGATCAAAGACTTAAATATAACATAATCAAGTGCAACAGTGAACTGGACAATGGATTTTTTAGGCAAACTTACCCGAGATTGCAAATGAAAGGCCAAATGCCAGGAAGTTTGGATAACTAGATAAAAAGGAAACATTGATGGGCATTGCTTCAGTCAATGCAATGGATATTGTGTTGTTTGTAAGTTTATCAACATATCCACTATATCCACTAGCGACACTTGCTGTTCCTGAAATATTAATTATTAAAATTAGTCAGTTACTCCATAAAGCAAATCACATTTCAAGGCTTATTAAAAAAAAATTTATATGATACAGCCAGATTATCTGTGCACTGGTTTCTCCACACAAACACTGTTGAAGTACAGAAATGTGGGTGTGATCCCACAGTGATCCCACAAAATGTTGATTTGTTCACACGAACTCAGTATTTTCTCACATATACTGTACAGTACATCAACTTCTTATGATTTCATTGTGTAGTGATGAGTGTGTGAAACGGGGCAACGTCACTACCAACACCCGAGTGTGGGAGGGTAACATTGACAGCAGCGAGAGACAGGGCAACATCACTACCGACACCCTAGTGTGGGAGGGTAACATTGACAGCAGCGAGAGACGGGGTAACATCACTACCGACACCCTAGTGTGGGAGGGTAACATTGACAGCAGCGAGAGACGGGGTAACATCACTACCGACACCTGAGTGTGGGAGGGTAACATTGACAGCGGCGAGAGACGGGGTAACATCACTACCGACACCCGAGTGTGGGAGGGTAACATTGACAGCAGCGAGAGACGGGATAACATCACTACCGACACCTGAGTGTGGGAGGGTAACATTGACAGGGGCGAGAGACGGGGTAACATCACTACCGACACCTGAGTGTGGGAGGGTAACATTGACAGGGGCGAGAGACGGGGTAACATCACTACCGACATCCGAGTGTGGGCAGGTATTGCATAGAACTTGGATTGTAGTACTGAATAGTGCCTCCCAAACTCAAATTAAGTGTGGTAGTACTTTTGAGCTTCATAATGTTCCAGTCGGTAGCATGTATACCTCATGAGAATAGGGTTTGATCCCTTCATGTGGCCTCAATATTTTGTCTTAATTAGGAACCTTCACATAGTGAACAGTGCTTAGTTGACAGATTTGCAACAAAAATATAAAATAGACCTACATGCCTAAGTAAAGTGCCTTTTCCACATAAAACAATCAACATATACCACTAAACCAAGGGGAAAGACTCATATATTTTCAGGATACAATATCAAAACAATATTTACAGTAGGTGAAAACATATACTGCATAGCATTTAAAAGTTACAGTACTGTATAAACAAATTACTGTACTGTACTTAGCACTACAAGTCAAGGACACACACAATACTAGCAAGACAAAGAGAGGAGTAACTGAAACTCAAAACAGTATGCAACGTCATTCATACAGCACCATTTGCAAATCCGGTATTACACATTTTCAACTTACCAATTACATATTCCAAGATTAAATTCCATCCAATAACAAAGGCAACAAATTCTCCAATGCACACGTAGGTGTAGACATACGCAGAGCCAGCTTTGGGCACACGAGCTCCAAACTCTGCATAACACAGGCCTGGGGGAAAAATACATACATTACCAAATGTATTTAAATGTGATTCTATGTAAAATTAATGCTTGTGCATACCCAATAGTCTTATCAGAAAAGGTGAAGCTAGAAAAGTGTCAATTATTGAACAAGATTATTATGCTGGTCTAAATGTGCTCTAGTGGTTGCAGATGTCTCTGTCAAAGTTTTGTCTTTGCTCTCAAAATCTGATAAAATTGACTTTGGTAGAATGCCCTATGCAAAACCAAGATGTAAATTGTATGGGCCTGAGACTTTTGAGCAAATCAGCCTTATGGTAACCATGGACAACACGAGGTGTAAAGAATGTAGGCAGTGTTGTGACTCGGATGGTTGTGGATCAAATACCTTATAAATTTATGCCTATAAATATTAAAGAATTAAATGCAAATCTAATAATGTACCAAAGATCATATAATTTTGAAGTTTTACAACAATGTAATCTAACTTGAAAGCATACTTTATATTCTTCAAATTACTAGCTTTTCACAATGCCATACACCATATAAGCAATAAATTAAAATATTTCCATGTTTGTTTCACTAGTCAAAATCAACAAAATACAGGTTACTTTCGACTAAGATAAGACGCAAGTACCAAGATCAGTAACTTACCAGCAAGCACTGAGGCAACGGCAGCAATGAGGAATGATATTGTAACTGCTGGTCCTGCAGTTTCACTTGCAACTTTACCTGCAAGCACATAAATACCAACACCAATAGTTGATCCAACGCCAAGTAATGTGAGATCAACGGTATTTAAAACTCGAGGTAGTTCTGTGTCTTCAAAGGTAACAAATTTTCGCCTTGTCAAACGATCCACAAAGCTTGACATTTTGGAATGTTCAGTATTTGTGTATAACTAGACGAGCTTCATTACACAAATCACCTGAAATACAAAAATAGTTATTGATCATCAATGTTTCATGTACTACTTACTCCCTGTCAGGCCTTAATTGTCCTACTACAAATGGGTTTACCTATACATCTATCATATATATAATAATGGTTCCAAAAACCAACAGCCCTGCTGGCTAATATACAACTAAGCCTACTGGTTAATGTCTAACAGTCAAGAAACTAGTTAAAAAGTAGTTATTCTACCCCCCATTATATATCATTGTCCTTGTCATCAAAATCATATGAGGCTAACATAGGATACATTTCCTAACCCCCACATCCCCCAACCATCCAGGATGTTGCACATGCAAGTTGCTGCCCAACATATTGTGCAGTCTGGCTAATAAGGATCTGCAATTTCACTTAGCCTATATTTGGGAGGAAGGTAAGGGAAAGACCTTTGTCTGTATACAGTGGGGCCTCGATTTACGATGGTAATCCGTTCCCAGAGACGTATCTTAAGTCAAAATATCATAAGTCGAAACGATTTTTCCCATAAGAAATAAATGGAATTGAATTAATCCGTTTCACACCCTCAAAAATATTAACTTAAGTAAACATTCTATACTGAATACAATTTTTTTTCTCTAACTACAATACAGTACATATGTTTATCTTACCTTTATTGAGGACTCTTGATGGCATATGGAAGATAGTGATGAGGGGGTAGAAAGAGAGGTGTTACTGTTTGGAAGGGGAGTCCCCTTCTATTATGACATCAGGCAGTGAGCACTTCTCTGGGGTACACACTCTGGCATGTTTTGCCTACATACCACTAGGACCTGCTTCTGGCTCACTGCATGATTTTCTCATTTTTTTCTTGAAGATTGTTTCTCCCCTTCTTTGCAACACTTCTCTGTAGTGAGGCATCACATTGTCATTAAAAAGATCAATGCAACGGCCTGCTACGGCTTTATCTGGGCGATTCTTTTCAGCAAAACTTTGCAGTCCTTCCCATACTGCACACATTTTTTTAATTAACAAGGAAGGGACGTCCTCTACTGCCACCTCCTCCTCCTCCTCCCCTGAAGATTGGTTGTACTGCCTAGCTAGTTCAACAACACGAGTACATTTTCATGTTTACAAATGATCTCTTGTTTTTTCTCTATGGTCATTCTTACATGTGTTTTCATATGTTGAACCTTACCACTGACTTTCTTAGGACCCATGGTGTGATATATAATAATCAGTTTTATGTTCCAAAAGCAAAAAAAATCACCACAAAAATGGAAATTTCTTATAAGCGTAATCGTCACTAAGCAGATGGCTCTAGTAAACTGATTCAGGTCAGCCTGCGCGACCGAGAACCATGCACTCGGTCAACCCAAATGTATATCAACGAATATCGTTAGTCGTCGACACTATCGTAAGTAGAGCTGCATTTTTCGATTAAATTTATATCGTAACTCAAAATTATCGTAAGTTGGGGCAATCGTAAGTCGAGGTGTCACTGTACTTTTCATCGTACTGTAATTATTTTGCACATTCAACCTTACCTCTCACTTTCACAAGGAATTATACAATTCTCCAAATTTTAAATCAGTCCCTCCATTATTTACAAGAATACAGCATATCATTCTCTCCCGCACTTCAGGAAGTGCAACAGGCTTTTATATATATTTTTTCAAAAGTTTGCATGTTTAGCTTAATAGGCTTAGTTGCAGATTATCTGTTGACTACCTGTTTGAGAGTTCAAGGATTAATGTCCCCATGGCTCGATCTCCGACCAGTCCTCCTGGTTGCTGGTCTGAACAACCAGGCTGCTCAATACGGTTCTTTGCAGCCTGATGTACGAGTCACAGCCTGGTTGATCAGGTATCCTTTTAATTAAGGTGCTTGTTGAGTTGAATTTTGAACACTGCGAGAGGTCTGCCAGTTATGCCCCATATGTGCCAGGAAAGTGTTGAAAAATCTTGGGCCTTTGATGTCGATAGAGTTCTCTCTCCACATGCCTTTTGCATCTCTACTTTTCAGTGGGGTTATTTTGCATATTCTGCTATGACCCTGTTGACATGCAGATCTCTAATGGCAGTCATGGTAGTGAGTAGCGGGCTATTCAGTAATTAGCAGAGAAATAAGTAGTTCCTACAGAGTATAAGGTTTCATTTTCAGAGGGTAGTCAAACTTTAATTTTCTCCTTTGTCTAACAGTGAACTGGTCTTTTGGTGAGGGATAAAGGTACAGCATTCTACACAGTCACCCTTCATCAATTTATGAGAGTGTAGGACAACAGAGCCTCGCATGTTTTGTGGTCTGGGTGGACAAAATGAGTAAATGGCTTGACCAGCAACCTAGAGATTGCTCAGAAGCAGTCTTTCCAAATTCTCAAAATTCTATTTTTATTTTAATCCATGCTAGAATATCTAATAGATAATCTGTATGTTATATTATGCATTTGTGTAAGGAATGTTTTTATCAATACACTATACTGTAATGCATGTCTTCATTCTAATTTTATAATTTATGCAAAAATGTAATAGAACAATGAAATTACTATAAATTCATGTTCAAAAACTACTATAAATTTAAAATGCCTGTATATTTATAGAATACTGTACAATTCTGTATATACAAATCAATCAATCAAACCAATCATTATGCAGAGATTAATACAGTATAAAAGAAAAAGATATGGCACTATAATTAATGCTTCTGGCTATAAGTAAGAGGATGAGTGAGTATTGCAATGAGGATCATATCCTGGGTAACAGCCATTTCTAGTGGAAATCTCCTATTTTACTTAACTGACTGGTACTCATTAGCTTCAATCTGTAGGGAAGTCGAAGATCTATCATCCCAGTTTTCAAGTTACAGTACAGTGTATTTCCTTTGTATGCATTTTGTTTGTTGTTACAACATGATCAGATTTGCTGTATCTGTAGTCTAGTGGGTAATGGATAGTGCTCCAATGGATTTTCAAAGAAATATCCCAGTACAGTGACACCTCAGCTTACGAATGCCCCTCTTTACGAACTTTTCGGATTACGAGCCCAATTTCTTCGTAAAATCCAGATCAGGTTACGCACTGCCTCGGGTAACGTAATTTGTTGATACATATATGGCCGACCTAGCGCGTGGTGGTATGGCGACCGCACCTTAAGTTTACCAGTGCCTCCCTCCTAGTGACAATTGCATCTGAATTTTTTGTAAAGAATTTCAGTGTATTTTTTATTTTTGGGTATTTGAACATAAAAGTAATTATTATATATTTCACCATGGGTCCCAAGAAAGTCAGTGGTAAGGTTCAACCTAAGAAAATAGTTGTGAGTAGAGGCAGTAGAGAATGTTCCTTTCCTCATTAACAAAATGTGTGAAGTATGGGAAGAACTGCAAAGTTTTGTTGAAAAAACTCACCCCAGATAAAGTTGTAGCAGGCTGTTGCATCGATCTTTTAAATGACACTGTGATGTCTCACTACAGACAAGTGTTAAAATGTAGGGAAAAACATGCGTCTTTAGACAGATTCTTAGACAAGCAAGCCGTGAGCCACAAGCAGGTCCTAGTGGTACTCCTGCAAAATGTAGGAGAGAGAGTACCCCAGAGAAGTCATCACTGCCTGATGTAATAATGGAAGGGGACTCCCCTTCCAAACACTAACACTTCTCCTCCTCCCCCATTCCTCACCGTCTTCCATACGCCAACAAGAGTCGTCAATAAAGGTATGCAATAACTTGTAAATGCTTTTGTACTAAAGATTTGGGTAAATTAGATATAAAATTTACTTTGAAGTCAATATTTTTGGGAGTGTGGAATGGATTAATTTAATTTACATTATTTCTTTTAAGAAAATTCACTTCGATTTATGAATTTTCGGGTTACAAACCATCTCTGGGAACGGATTAAATTCGTAAGCTGAGGTACCACTGTATTGTAATTTCCCTGTGCATGTTATGCAAGTTTCTTTCATCTATCCGGACTGGACAGTAGAGAAAAAATCTCGCTTCATGCAGGGCAGAGTTCAATCCCCGACTGTCCAAGTGGTTTTGCACCATTCCTTTTTCCCCGTCCCATTCCAAATCCTTATCCTGATCCCTTTCAAGTGCTATATGGTTGCAATGGCTTAGCACTCTCTCCTGATAGTTCCTTTCCCTATCCTTAAGAATTCTACTCATTCAACCAATATGTCTATATCATTATTCCAAGGCTATGAAACCTCAATTTTCAGACAATGCCAACATTCGATGCCAACAAAGGTATTAGTAACTGATGATAGAACTCAAGTCACCTATAAATTAACTTTAAGCAACAACTCACATGACATACTTTTTGTTAAAGTAGGTTGGCCATATCTGTGCCAGATACAATGAAGCATGGAAAAAAAGAAGCACCGATTAATGGTCATTATCACATGATTTCAAGGTCATATGAGAAGAGAGCAAGACAAGGCAGGCAACAGAGTGGTAGACAGTTGGAGCAAGTTAGGTGAGCAGGTGATGGAGGCCAAAACCATCAGTACAGTACTTTCAAAGTGTTATACGACAATGAGTGCTGGGAAGATGGGACACCATGAGCGTAGCTCTCATCCTGTAACTACACTTAACTAATTACCTCACTGATGACAAATTGAATGTACCCATGAAAACTAAATGATAAACACTTCGATACCATTTCAAATCATACATCTTTATTTATTTTAGCTTAATAACTACCTTATCATCCAGAACCAATACAAAATTTATGATTAGCAAAATATTATCATTTTCCCCTTAATCTCCAAACAAGTACTGTACTGATTAAAAAGTTATCTCGTTAACAACCCACTCTACCTTGGAGAATGTGATATGAGGATGACCCACTGATATGATAAGAGCTTATGCTTTTGTTTTACTATTATACAGGAAAAACCCAACTACTGTACAGTACTATAGTGTCAACAATTCTGATTTACCCGAGGGCCACTAACCCTAGTGGCCTCAACGAGAACAGGAAGACAGCAGCTTCTCGAAGGTGATAATTTGCCTTTATGATCTTTTCCAGGTAAATTTTAAAACTTGGCACAGTTTTGACATTTACGGCTTTGACGGGTAGGCAGTTTCATGGGTTGATAACCTTGTGGGTGAAAAAGCATCTCCTGTTCTCAGCCCTACATTGTAGCTTGTTGAGCTTGAAACTGTTGCTCTTTGTTTGTGTTACATCTGGCCTTTTAAAGAAATTGTCCAGATCAACATCATCTAACTTGTTCAGTACAGTACTGTATTTTAAGTTTCAATAAGATCCGCCCTATCATGCCTGGTTTGCGGTATTGTTAGCCCTGTGGCCTTCAACCGTTCCTGAAACGAGAGATGACTTAGCTCTGGAATGACTTTTGTTGCCCGGTGTTGTACTTTTTCCAGAGCATCTATGTCTTCCTGAAATGAAGTACAGTAATCCAAGTAAATTTATATATACATACCAGAGATTTATATAGTTGAATCATTACCTTTTTTTCCTTAAAGTCAAAAGTATGCTTGGTTATTCCAAGGGTTTAATTAGCTATTCTGACTTCTGCTTCTACCTGTTGTGCGACTTTTAATGAGTGGGGAAGTTTGACTCCAAGGTCCTCTTCTTCATCAATCTGCTGTAATGTAATGTTATTAATTTGGTAGTTGTGTCATGGGTTGTTATGCCCCACATGCAGGGTCTTCCATTTTTCTATATTAAAAACTATTTGCCATTTCTATTTAGTCACTGATGAATCTTTTGACCGAGAGATTTCCATGCTATTTCTCTAATATGAAGAAGTGAAGCATATGTAACCAAAAGGCTGATGTGAAAAACATACATTGTATTTTAAATACATGGGTTAAAAGGGCATCACCACTGCCTGTTAGATGCACACTATAGCCACACAGACTGTACACATGTTGAGTTTGCCAGTGCTTCACGAGAGCTAGTCAAGAATTTGCCTTAAATCTTAAATTGGTTAAACTGGTTATATATAACCAGCTATAACTATTCATAACTAACTGGTTATAACTACATTTAAGATTAGTATAAAACTAATACACAAAAGTTTATTTTCCCTTCTCTTTATTCCATTTTCTCTGCCTCTCGTTCATCCTCACACTCTCCCTTATCTCAAGAATGGCAAAAATAATGCAGTTTCAATCTTGGCCAAAATTAGCCACATTCACCACTGATAGCAGTGTGATCATGTTTCCTATGAGTTCTGCATATATTTTTTACAGTACAGTACTTCTGAAGTTTTCCTTGTGTGTATACTGTTCAATTTATTTAGTTGTACAGTTACCACACTATTGGCCAATATTTGTTTAAACCGAAACGAAACACTATGCGTGTTAAGTGGCTTTGTAAGAATGTAAAAATACAAACCCTATGTAATCTCACAATCCCATTGTACCTTCTTGTGAATAAAAATTATTATTATAAATTATATACATCTTTAATGGTACTCAGCCCTGTAAATATTTTTATCTAATTGACATTTCAAGAAAATCATAATTATGCCATTTACAACATTTGAATTCTCCTTAATTTCTATGACAAAATCAACATATATTTTTTCTATATCTGTCAGTCTGTCTGTGTGACTGATACCCCATCCACTAAGATCCACCCATAAAAAACAAAATCCCACCTGTCCACACTAATACAAAGCAAAACACACTGTTTTAAATGTGTTGTAGCCACTGCTGCAAAAACTTAATCAAGATTTCAAAAGTAACAAGAAAATGGAAGGAAAATGTAACTTAGATCAACTTATTATAGAAGTTACAGGTTGCCACAAAACAAATCTTAGATTTGCATGGGTAAGAAAACATAAATGTATGTATATTACTTAATAATAAATGTCAAACCTTTTTGGCATATAACAGATGCAGATCTCATTAAATTTACCAATTGCTTTGCATCAAAATTATCTTTACTCCTCATACCAAAATTAACACATTATAAGGCCACGGCTTACTTTATTTATTTTTTATTTTTTATTTATATATACAAGAGTTCTTACATTCTTGTACCTGTACAGCCACTAGCACGCATAGCATTTCGGGCAGGTCTTTAAGCCTAATTTTTTTCCCTGGAATATGACCTGCCAAATTGTTTAACAACCAGGTACCCATTCACTACTAGGTGAACAGAGGCTTAAGTTAAGGATTGGCACTCAGTCAATCCTCCCTAACCAGGATGCGAAACCAGGCCAAAACGCTCGCGAAGCGCCTGGCGAGTGCTTTATCATTACGCCATGGGGACTGCTTTATGTCGATCCTGTACAGTGCTGCCCTCACAAGGATGCACACTGTACTATCTCAAGATTATTTACCTTAACTTTTTGGGGGATGGTGTATTTGATAAGATTTGCTTATGAAAATATAAATATTATGTTTTCTAAGTAGGGAAAAATATGTTCTCGAATTAATCAAAATTAACCATTTTAATTGAACAAATGAGTTTTCTTCAATAAACATGCAACATAAAAAAGATATAATTTATTATGTACATAAATTATGCATGAAACTTTCAAGTGGATTGAGTGCCTTATAATAAATCATAATTAATAATAATTTTGCAGCAAACAGGTAGCCTGTGTGTACAGTATAACACTGTACAGTACCTTTATGTACTTTAGGCTTATATCAAGGTCCCTCAAAGGTTGAACTATTGTCCCTTCCCAGGATGCAACCCCACAACACACTAACTCCTGGGTATCTACTTACAGCTAGGTGAACAGAGGTATTAGGTGATAAGAAGTGTGCCCAAGCATTTCTGTCCTGCCCGAGATTCCCAATTGTGAGACAAGAACGAACCCAACTGTACTACTACATTTGAATGTAGTGGTACAGTATATGAATGAATTTCAAGGTTAAACACATGAGGCATTCAAGTAGTGCATTAAGTCTTAACTCATTCTGTAATAAACAGTCACGCAAGTTTTGTGCAGCACTGTTAAAATCTATTGTATATTGCCACACTTGGTCATGATATTTATGAATAAGGTAGCAAGGCATTTCTCTGTACATATAAACACAATTCATAGACCACAAACTTACAAAAATTCACAAAATATACAGTGCTTTATTTGTCAGTTTAAAATCTACAGGTGCCTAAATAAACAAAATAAATAAATCAACACCCATAAATATGTATGAGTCAGTCTTATCAGTAAAGATAAAATAAGCCAGCTGAAAGTGCTTCTTGCAAAAGAAAAATTTTCTCTTATCTCCAGTTGTTTTGTAAAATTAAAAATTTGTTTTTCCAAGGACATGATCTGCTACCAAAAATCTTTGCCAAATATCCCCAGCTTGCTAACTGTAGGTAGTAACTAAGTGATTGTAACCTACCCACCGCTGCCCACTGGATGGGGGGGGGGGCCGGTGTGCAGGATAAACATATCAATTGTGACACTAACCACTAACTCCCCACATATGTCAAACCGTACTTGTGGTCAGTCTCGAGCCCATTACTGATGTGACAATGTGCATTGAATTTTGTAACTAGCTCATCAAGATTGTAACTTGCTTAGCTAAATGAATTGTGGGGTTCAGTCCTTGAGCCCATTATGTCCATTATGTGCCTCTGTAACCCTTTCCATTACTGCCCACAGGATGAGTATGGGGTGCATAATAAATGAACTAAACTAACCAAGGACATGAATGTATCAAAGTTCCCCCCACTCCCCAAGGACGAACTGCTGACCCCTTTCCAGGATGTAACCCCATAACAGTTGCCTAACTCCTGGGTATTTAATGTTAGGTGAAGAGGCATCGAGTGAAAGGAAATGTACCCAATCATTTCGGTCCCACTCAGGAATTGAATCTAGGATCTCTGATTGGGAGTTGAGAACAAAGCCAACTATATTATAGGGCCCTGCTATGTGTAGTAATCAAGACTAGTAATGGCAATGAAAATTACCAAAGTTTTCCTATTACTATCATCCTTTCATGTCCAATATCTCGATAACAAGACATGAGCGAGTAAAACCTTAAAAACAGTGGACTGTTCTATAAAAATACAATAAAGTTCAATACTAAGGACTGTAAAAATTCTTCAGAAAATTAATTCAATAACAAAATTATCTCTGTGCATGATAACTTTCCATTAAATGAACTATGCTGAGGCTCCAGCATACTTTTGCAGAGGCTGATACCTTTTACAGTATTTACAACCATAAAATATTATGACTAAAAACTCCTGATGCACTGTTTTGAAGTTGTGTTTTTTTGTGCCAGAAAAATTAAGTGTTTTATTTACTATGAGTTCCATAATTTGTATCTGTATACAGCACTCTAGTCTACTGTATGTCTTTGTAATAAATACTTGATTGCATCATTTTAACATGCATTAAAAAAAAGGCCTGGCAGATAAACCCAACCACAAAGATTAAAAGTAGTGCTCATAAAAAATGATATCTAGACTGTGATCTCCAGCAGAGTATAATCTATAAGATACATGGTCCACTTCTTAGATAAACCAAAGGATATCAAATATTTCAAAACACTACTTGACATCAAAGGAAATTCAGATGCTTCAAACTGGAGCTAATAAACAATGATTTTCTGAATACTGTACAGTCTGAACATAAACACTACTGAAGACTACTATACAGTACTGTACTTTCATAAACATCAAAGTACTGTACAGCCTTTATCATTACCTTCATTTACGCTCATCATCTGCACAAATTAAATATACTTAAAAATGCACAAAACTGCAGATAACTGGATAGGTATAGCAACATATCCCCACACCTCACAGTAAAAACAGCAAAACAATGACAAAAAATTGAGACAAGCTAAAGGAGTTGAAAATCATACCTTCAACACACAAATTCAAAGCTACAGCTAAGGAAAGGGCAGGTAATCAAGTTAGTAGATGTAGACGACTAAGTCCTCTATTAGAGACTTAGAAATAGCCCTATACATCTCCACTGACATGCAGGCACAAGACCATAGGGACAATATACAGAATATTGTGGTTAAAAAGCCCAACATCATTGGGCTCAGCAAAACATGGGGACAAGAAAAAAGTAACTGAAGTGAAATTACTTTATCACCTTCCAAAATGGATAGAATAACAAGAGCAAGAGGTTTAATATGTACTATAATATGTACGTATATACATATGTATGAATGTGTATATTTTATACACACGTGACCTGTCTGCAACTACCAATGAGCAATTAAGTACAGTAACAAGAATACAGTACTCAGGTATGTACACATGGCTGAGGAAGTTACAGACCTGCATAATGTGATAAAATCAGGAGATGAATTGAATCCAAAGCACTTATAATGGGGGATTTTAACCATGAGACAATAGACTGGGTGAATTTATTATTTATTTTGCATTTATTTATATTTTGTATTAATTTATTTATATAAATATAAGTACAATGGGTTATGAGAGTACTGTACTTACATATATTGGTGATTAAGAGGTACATTCTTGCAAAATCACTAGCATGCATAGCATTTTGGGAAGATAATTAAGATTAAACTAATAAATAAGTGTAATGATTGGTACATTGTAGCAGAATTTGAATTCACATAACTACCAGAGTATAGTGATAAATTATATCATACCGATGAAGTTCCATTCTTATACTGTGATGTACTGGGTGAGTGGGTAGCACAAGATACTGAATAAGTTAACAGAACAAGGTGGGATGCTATAAAGATGAAACTGCATACTTCATTGTTCTACTTTTGAATAATGTATAGGTTGGATAATTTTTTAACTCATTAAGGAGCGAGTTCCAAATACTATACTGGGTTCTTTTATTTGTGTGGCATGCTTGCATAGATTTAGTCTAACTCTGGGAATATCAGAGATTTATTTCTGGTGTGATGTTCATGGGTTCTATTACATCTATCATGGAAGAGATTCAAGATAGGATTACAATTTAGGAACAACTTTTGTTTTTAAATGTATTTAACACATGATAACATGTGGAGTAAATGTATGTTTAGCATGTTTAAGATTTGAACATAGGGGCTGTGTGTTGTCTGATGATAGAATTTGTTGGTTCTTATAGCTTATTTTTACCAAGTGATGATGGGCTTGAGGTAGTTTGCAGTGGCTGAACTCTATGCACAGATACCGTAAATTAGATAGGGATAGATTAGTGAGTAGTATAGCATTAGAAGAACAGAGCAGGAGCATAATCTAATGTAACAGAGGGAGAGTAATTTTTTGGCCAAGTACAGGACTCTCTTCTCAAACAGCATGTGTCAGAGTCCACTCAAGAAATAACAGCATTATAGATCTTGTGCTAACTTTAAAGGAGGGCATGATCGACTAAATCCAAGTAGGGGAGAAACTTCAGAGGAGGGCATGATCGACTAAATCCAAGTAGGGGAGAAACTTCAGAGGAGGGCATGATCGACTAAATCCAAGTAAGGGAGAAACTCGCCCTTTCATGTGACCACTATAGCCTAAAAAGGAATACAAATCTAGAAACATATATAAAAAGATACTAGGTCCACACCATCACATCAATACAGTACTTACTTATCAGTGACAATGTGGAAGTGAGGTCTAGCTCTTTGTACCCCTTCCTACTAACCTTGCTGCACCTAAAGTGATAAATTAACTACAGTATTATGACATTTTAATTCTTTGTAGAATCTCCCGCCAAACACACATCGAAACTACGACGTTGGCACAACGTTCGAACAAGTTTTAACACCTCCTAACCAGTTACAACAACCAACATAGCAAGTTGTAACAACGTTCTAATACGTCATAAACACGTTAAGCCAAGATGTAACAACTTTATTACAAGTTGTAACAAGCGGAAAATAGAGACGGTTTCGGTTTGTTTCCAGGGCTGACCTTAAAGTTATGGAAGGAAGTGGCTTCAACAACTTTCTCTTTAAGTACTATACATTACATTTGCTGATCATTCATACAAGATATGAATATTTCTTTACAATTGTTTGACTCATTTATATTTCCATATACTTGTGTTCTCTAGTCATCATACTTTCACTCAATTTAAGGAGTCCCCTTGTCCATCATGTCTACTCCCCTTGAGTAACTTGTATGTTGTGATCATATACCTTCTATTTATTCTGTCCTTTTGGGTTGTGAGTTTCAGTTCTCTGAACCAATCTTCACAGCTTAATTCTCTTAGCTCTGGCACTAATGTTGTTGCAAACCTGTGCTTTTTCAATTTTGGTTTTATGCTTCACACGGTGCATATCCCAGTCCAGTGTTGTATCTTCCAGTATTGGTCTAATGATATGTAGATTGCCTTGAATGAAGTGTAATTTAGGTTTCTAAATGATGTAATGTCTTCCAGCATCCTATGTGCTTCTGATGTTACCCTGTTTGTGTGTGCCTCATCAGGTGTTAAGTATTGAAATTATATCCACTTCTCAATATCTTTTTTTTCCACTAACTGTAATTGCCTTTTACACATGGTGTAGATGCCTCCTAGTCTCCTGTTCCCTTCTTCATTACCTTACACTTGCCAAAATTGAATTCTAGCAACCATTTGTTTGCCCACTCTTGGGGCTTATCAATGCTTTCTAGTAACTTTCTGTGGTCCTCCTCAATTTTTACATATTCATTAGCTTTGCATCATCTGCAAACACTGACATGTAAAAGTTCAATCCCTCGAGTGGGGTCATTCACGTATATTAGAAACATTAGAGGTCCCAGGACTCAGCCTTGGGGGACACCAGCTCTGACTGTGACTCTCTGCGTTATGTCCTTCTGGTGTTTCCTTACCCAGTTGTGACAATGTACCATTTATACACCAAGACCTATACAAAAGCCAGTAACACACCTGTCTACCACACCGAGCGAGCGCCACACCGTATGTCGTGTTGGCATAAATCAACGAGTCGGTATCGACCACACCATGTGTTCGCCTCCACCCCCTTACAACACAGTAAACTCACTATTACTGATCGTTATTAATAGTACTACACAGAAGAGGAGCAGTGACATACCTGGCCGCACTCCTACACCTGTGATCAACAAGTGACAGGGGGTCGCTTGCCACGCCACCTGATAAACACAACTCCATAAAAAACGAAGATGTTGTGTAATTGGAGGGAAAACTATTTCTTAAATTTAGCCGCAGGGCCCGACCTTTATAGTGGCCTCGTCGGGACAAGAAGCCGGTGTAAGTTGTCCCCATTATTCTTGTGGATTTTATACAAATAAATAGGCGTAAAATTTGAAACGTCCTTCCAAACAAAGAAAATAGTTACTTAACAACATCAAAATTAGTACCCACCTAGTTGTACTTGTGTTTGCGGGGGTTGACCTTCGGCTCCTTGGTCCCTCCTCTCAGCTGTCAGGTTTCTGAGCCTATTGGGCTCCATTATATCTACATTTGAAACTGTGTATGAAGTCTGCTTCCACCAAAAATCTAACGTGTCTGCGGCTCATTTGAGTACTAACTTTCCACCTGTGTCCCCTTGTTCATGTACCGCATCCGCTAAATAGTTGGTCTTTGTCCATCCTGTTATTTCCTCTGAAAAATTTTATGTAGTGAGCATGTCTCCTCTAACTCTTCTGTCTTTCTGGGACGCGAGATTAAATTCTTGTAGCGTTTCCTCGTAACTCATACCTCTCAGCTCTAGGACTAGTCTGATGGCACACCTCTGAATCTTCTCTAACTTTGTCTTGTGTTTAATAACGCATGAACTCCAGGCTGAAATCCATACCTAGTTAAAGTCCTGTAGTCCTGTAGTTCTACTGTAGTCAAAAGTCTATGATCTCGACTCACTTTTGAGAATCCCGGAATCGATCCCCGAGCAGGAGAGAAATGGTTGGGCACGTTTCCTTACATCTGATACCTTTGTTTACCTAACAGTAAATAGGTATGTCGAGTTTGGTAACTGTTGGGAATTGCATCCTGGGGAAAGTTAGTATAGTTCGACCTAGAGGGACTTTAATACAAGACCCTGACAACAGGAATTATTATAAAATAAAGCAAATACCTGTACACCAAATTTCCTCGCCATAGTATAGTTAAATTTATTCGTTATGCAAATTACATTGTGAAGTTATATGTTTCCAAGACATTTGTGTCACTAAAACAGCTCCTTCATCAACGTCATTACTCGTCATAACCACTTTCATCAAGTAGGCCTACTAACTAATGTAATATGGAATGACATGTGGAATGACCTTCCCAACCATGTTAAAGACTGTACCTCTCTCAACCAGTTTAAGTTAAAAGCGAAGCTATACCTAATAAATTCCCTGTAACCTACCTTACCCTTCTATTGTCAACCAATGTCTGTTTTTTTCTTTAAAGAGCGCTGTTTGTCGACATAATTGTATTTGTGCTGCTTTTTCATCTATGTTTTCATTTCTTGTTTTCATTCTACTCATTATGCTCAATTAGTATTAAGCTTGTCATTTAAGTTTATCATGCCCGAAACGCTTTGCGTAATAGTGGCTTTAGGCATTGTATGTACTAGCTATACCTATAAGTTAAACAATCCTTGTAAATATTTATTGTATGTATGTACCTTACCTAAATAAAATTGTATTGTATTGTATTGTATTGTAATATATAGCAGTAAGTGTCTAAATTTGAACAGCGAGTACCTGCCTATTTATACACATGTAAACTATAATATGTCCACGGGTAAAAATTACTTAATTGCCTTTCACTGCAAATTCTCAAAATATAACTTAATCGTTAGTTTTAAATGACGCGATTAAAACTGACTAATTAATGTTTTCTTCCAAATTACTGCAAATTCTCAATGTATACCTCAGTTACTAATTTTAATAGTTCATTTCGTATTTAGTATTAGTAAACATAGCTCATGTTTAAAACTCACTATACACCTCTGCAAATTTTTAATGTACACATCAACTATACACCTTATTAGCTGTAATTGATAAAGATCTGCCCAAACCGTTATGGATGTTAGTGATATTGCGAGTATCTACTATTTACACGCCAAAATTGGAAAGGAATAACCTAGTGTCATTTTCTTGTATTTCAATAAATAACTATTATAAAGCTGCATATTGAACTAGAGTGCTGCCTTGATAGTTACAGCTGCGGTACAGGCGGTTATAAGAACACTGTTTTTCCCCAAAACGGTGGGTTTTCTGAGGGAAGAGAAAACGTATGTCTGGAAGCTGACTTTAACCGCCCAAGCTGCGCGCGCAACGGGCCGAGGTTATATAAGCTCGGCCTGCAGACTGCGTGGCCCCTCTTCCCGACAAGCAAGCAGCTGCTCACTTACAAAACGTATATATAAATATTATTAGTATTATTATTCAGATGCAGACGATGAGTGACAATAGCGTGGGTGAAGATATGACAACCAAACCACTCATCAGAAGACGAAGAAGCAACTCAAGTTTTAGTTTTAGTGTTTTTCCCCCATACCTTACCCGAAACGCTGTGCGCATTAGTGGCTTTAGGCATTGTGTGTACTAGCTCTTTCAAGAAATCCAACATTATACTTGTAACTCATCTTGTATTATGTACTTTTACCTGAATAAACATTTAATTTGATTTGAACATGTGTGCGTGCCTAAGAGGGTCGACTAGAAGAGAAAACGGTGACAGTTGAAGAGCGTCTCATCCGCTGGGACTCAGTTTGCCAGACAAGGATAACTTGATCCATATCTTATCAGCAACCATCCCACATCCTCCTCACCGTAATTATTGTCAATCAGTCCTTCAGATATTATCTCAATATCACATTCGCTGAAAATCCAAATGGGAAATTCCGTTGTAACACTACCTTGAGATGGTTTGGTTTGATATATATATATATATATATATATGCGAACAAGCCTGAATGGTCCCCAGGACTATATGCGAATGAAAACTCACACCCCAGAAGTGACTCGAACCCATACTCCCAGAAGCAACGCAACTGGTAACTACAGGGCGCCTTAATCCGCTTGACCATCACAGCCGTCAAAGGAAGTGATAGCCGAGGCTATTTGAGCCACTTCCCCGACGGCAACTCGGATGGTAATCTTGGGCATAGCATTTCACCAAATCACCTCATTCTTTGGGGCACACGTGAGGAACACAATTGCGAACAAGCCTGAATGGTCCCCAGGACTATATGAGAATGAAAACTCACACCCCAGAAGTGACTCGAACCCATACTCCCAGAAGCAACGCAACTGGTAACTACAGGGCGCCTTAATCCGCTTGACCATCACGGCCGTCAAAGGAAGTGATAGCCGAGGCTATTTGAGCCACTTCCCCGACGGCAACTCGGATGGTAATCTTGGGCATAGCATTTCACCAAATCACCTCATTCTTTGGGGCACACGTGAGGAACACAAATGCGAACAAGCCTGAATGGTCCCCAGGACTATATGCGAATGAAAACTCACACCCCAGAAGTGACTCGAACCCATACTCCCAGAAGCAACGCAACTGGTAACTACAGGGCGCCTTAATCCGCTTGACCATCACGGCCGTCAAAGGAAGTGATAGCCGAGGCTATTTGAGCCACTTCCCCGACGGCAACTCGGATGGTAATCTTGGGCATAGCATTTCACCAAATCACCTCATTCTTTGGGGCACACGTGAGGAACACAAATGCGAACAAGCCTGAATGGTCCCCAGGACTATATGCGAATGAAAACTCACACCCCAGAAGTGACTCGAACCCATACTCCCAGAAGCAACGCAACTGGTAACTACAGGGCGCCTTAATCCGCTTGACCATCACGGCCGTCAAAGGAAGTGATAGCCGAGGCTATTTGAGCCACTTCCCCGACGGCAACTCGGATGGTAATCTTGGGCATAGCATTTCACCAAATCACCTCATTCTTTGGGGCACACGTGAGGAACACAAATGCGAACAAGCCTGAATGGTCCCCAGGACTATATGCGAATGAAAACTCACACCCCAGAAGTGACTCGAACCCATACTCCCAGAAGCAACGCAACTGGTAACTACAGGGCGCCTTAATCCGCTTGACCATCACGGCCGTCAAAGGAAGTGATAGCCGAGGCTATTTGAGCCACTTCCCCGACGGCAACTCGGATGGTAATCTTGGGCATAGCATTTCACCAAATCACCTCATTCTTTGGGGCACACGTGAGGAACACAAATGCGAACAAGCCTGAATGGTCCCCAGGACTATATGCGAATGAAAACTCACACCCCAGAAGTGACTCGAACCCATACTCCCAGAAGCAACGCAACTGGTAACTACAGGGCGCCTTAATCCACTTGACCATCACGGCCGTCAAATGCGGCCGTTCGCATTTGTGTTACTCACGTGTGCCCCAAAGAATGAGGTGATTTGGTGAAATTCTATGCCCAAGATTACCATCCGAGTTGCCGTCGGGGAAGTGGCTCAAATAGCCTCGGCTATCACTTCCTTTGACGGCCGTGATGGTCAAGCGGATTAAGGCGCCCTGTAGTTACCAGTTGCGTTGCTTCTGGGAGTATGGGTTCGAGTCACTTCTGGGGTGTGAGTTTTCATTCGCATATAGTCCTGGGGACCATTCAGGCTTGTTCGCATTTGTGTTCCTCACGTGTGCCCCAAAGAATGAGGTGATTTGGTGAAATGCTATGCCCAAGATTACCATCCGAGTTGCCGTCGGGGAAGTGGCTCAAATAGCCTCGGCTATCACTTCCTTTGACGGCCGTGATGGTCAAGCGGATTAAGGCGCCCTGTAGTTACCAGTTGCGTTGCTTCTGGGAGTATGGGTTCGAGTCACTTCTGGGGTGTGAGTTTTCATTCGCATATAGTCCTGGGGACCATTCAGGCTTGTTCGCATTTGTGTTCCTCACGTGTGCCCCAAAGAATGAGGTGATTTGGTGAAATGCTATGCCCAAGATTACCATCCGAGTTGCCGTCGGGGAAGTGGCTTAAATAGCCTCGGCTATCACTTCCTTTGACGGCCGTGATGGTCAAGCGGATTAAGGCGCCCTGTAGTTACCAGTTGCGTTGCTTCTGGGAGTATGGGTTCGAGTCACTTCTGGGGTGTGAGTTTTCATTCGCATATAGTCCTGGGGACCACTCAGGCTTGT